GACCGAGGCAGGCACGCCACCGCTGCATTTGTACACGCAATCCGACAGGCAGTTCTGGAAGGGATGTGCGCTTGCAGTCCATTTCAGGCCAACCCTTGGGCCTCCTGGTCCTGATTCAACTCCGGTCTCGCAAGCGCAATGCTTGGCCTAGGGCGAGAACAACGCCAACTCAAAATCCACAAGATCTTGGTCTCCAGCCCAGCACCTGCCAAAGCACCTTGGAGGACATGTGGGTAGACTTTGCAGGTTTCTGTCATTGTTTATGCCGCGATGTTGGGGTCTTGTGCTTGTTTTGCTTGGAGCAGTCAGAGATTTGAACTGAGCCAAACAACAGAGTTTACCACACGCCCACGCCCACACCCACACCTGCACCCGCACCCGCGCCCACACACCCACACACCAACAGCCCCACAGCCCCGCGCTGGTGCAGGCGCACAGAGTGGATTTCCACTCTGATGTTGTTGTGAATTCCATTCTGCTATTGTATAGCTCTGTCGCACTACTCATGTCGGAGAACCTCTCAGGTCACTAGCACTGTGTTTCCACGGTCGTATGAGGGGAGTGTAAAACATAGCCCTGTCTGCTTGCTTTCATGTTGCCGAAGCATCAAAAAATAAATTACACCTGGAGGACAGCAGGTCGAGTCAAAATGGCGATAGCATGCACGCTGCTTGCTGCGCCAATGAAGTTCAGTCGTGTTAGACATCTCAAGTTGTTCGGGCAAGTTGGCGAACCCATAATCCGACGAGTCCGGGCATGTTCGTTGCAGAACGCCATTTTCAAATTCTAGAAGGTCATGCCGTGCAGGAATTTCGGGGGATGAACACCTGCGATTTGTTTCACGATGCACGGCACATCTTTAAGGCCTCCGCTGCCGACAGTTGCTACCTTAGACGCAAGCTCCACGGAAGCTCACGACAGCAAGCAGCCAGCAAGCACCATCAAACAACATTGATTCGTCTCCAAAACTCGAGCAGGCACCCTGGATTGCTGGGATGCTTTTTGCATCACAAGATCGATGTTTCAATATGAGGAACCCTGGGGCCACTCCAGCCGGCTTTGCAACTGAGTTGTCAACGGCAGCCCGTCTGCTGGAGATGACAAAGACATGGGAGGTGACGGTACAAGTCTTAGCAAGCGTGCTCACGCCTATTTCTGCGAACCACATCCTGCAACACTCAGGGCAGCACCAGAATCCCACCTAGTACATAGAGCAAAGGACTCCTGGACACAACATCCACGATGAGGTGAGTCCAAGAGAAAACAGCCAGCCTTCTGTGCGCTTTTCGTCCATCTACGGCCATCCTGTTGGCCTCCAAGTTTTGACACACTCCCATGTGAGTCACAATCAAAACCTGGTATTAAAATGGTCTACCCAGAGCCACGTAAAGGATTAAGAAGGCGGCTGCAACTATTTCTGGCTGGGACTGCCCCTTACTAACCTTCATCTACCCGGGTTTTGATTGTGGCTCATATGAAGCATCAAGCGGCCTGGTCAGCGTCTAAGGATCGCTTCCTTGAGCCAAGCACTGCACGGCAGACTTTGCATGTGGCGGGTATGAGCTGTTCCTTCCGAGACTGCTTGGCCTTGCAGCAGCAAATTTTCGCCTAGCTTCGGATGCATTCTCGGCCACATTGATGTGCCTACTGCCACCCGATTTCTAATCAAAACTAGCTGCCCACCATTCTGGCTGATTTTGACCGACGTGGAAAGAACGAAAGCGTTGCTCAACCTCGATACACAATGTGTACACGGACGAAATGTTGGTCAAAATCACAGAGTGGCCATTGATTGAAGCCGAAACACGGCTTGATATAGCGTGCTTTGCCGGACCACTCAATTGGGATCTAGGTTGATTGCACAAGGTGTTTACTCCGATCATCTTGTTTACTCATGTCTTGGATTCAGCTGTATTCCCAACCAAATACATCCGGATACAACGGAGACGTCACATCATGCCATGCCTTGAGCAATAGCACATGGCGAGCAAAACTTCTCAGCAGCTAGCGAGTGCAGGACAATCCTCCTGTCGCTAAACACACCCCAGCTTTTGGACAATGCGGTCAATACGAGGAAACACATCTTGCGCGGGAACAAAATGGTGCTGCGGGAGAGAAAGCCGGGGAATGCAGAAATGGAAAACATGCCATGTGGCATACTATTCACGGTCTGTGTGACCAGGTGACCCTCTTGTGCTGCAGCTCACTTCTGGAAAGCGCTTGCCCCCCTGTGAGAGGGCTGCCGTCTCTCAAGCATATCACCTGAGCTCCGATGCACTCTGTGTCCAACACCTGATAGACTCCCGGCCTTGTTTCTGGCTTTGGACAAGCCCACGCTTCTGTTTCTTCAGCGTCTATGTCTTGCAACTTCCACGCCTTTTCGGCCATGCACATGTCATGTGCTCATGTGCGTGAATGATCTGTCGCCCCAACCACCCGACTTTTGTAAGGGACATTCAGTAAACCTGACACATCCCCAAGTTTACCCATCATTCAACAGCTTGTGGCAATGACTCTGCCGCGCCTTCCTTTTCGGTGGCTCACGCCAAGCCTCAGGTGCGAGCTGATGACTTGTGGCGGCTGAGGCCCTTGCACAGGAGCTTCAGACATCATTGCACCTATTCCGCTGCCTTTGTGTTTTTGCCTTGCTTTGCAGCAGCAAGCAATGACCATTTCACAAATCCATAACCAGCTAAATCTTGCTTGATTGGGCTCGTCCAAGCATTGTGGCCCAACTTGCGTGGCAATTCACATGTACTGAGCACTTTCCTCTAGCATACCAAGCTTGTACTTTACGTTGAAGTGTATACTTGTGGACTGGAAGCCGTTTCACAGTTGGGTTGGGGTAGTGTCAGGCATCCCGATTCAGGCATCCCTCCAACCCCGGGGTTCACCAACAGCCGTGATCTTTGTGTCCGGGGGTGTTTCTAGCTTCCGTTGCTTCACTGCTCCACTCATATTCGCAATCCATACCATGGCCATTTGGCGGTTGATGCAAACTTGTATGCGCACAAAGCTCTCCATCCATTGCGAGCAAACAGAACCCTACGCTTGCTGAATTGTGGTCACTGTGTGCACACTCACTTGGTTGTAAGCCGAACATTGCCTTCTGTGTTGGTCGCGTATACAACTGGGCCTTTCTTGTATAAGAACAATTTACGGCAGGTTCTTTGGAAACCCTGGGGGGGAGGCACTCAGAAAAAACAACCGTAGCCGACGAAAGGGCGCGCAAAAAAGGTACTGCCTTGAACTTGACTGGGGAAGAGAACTGCGAAAATAGCTCGGGGGATGACTTTAAAACGGTTGATGGTTTCGCCATGGACAGAGTCCACTTTCGCCTGTGATTCGCAGGTGGTTGTGCCCGTCTGCTCAAAACCTGGCAGCTACGGTAGCCGGCTGTCACAGTGTCAGCTTCGGGTCAGCGATTCTGCGCTTGTTTGCTGAGAGCATGCAGCACGGTCCTTCCTTGATGGGTCGTTTCGCTGTTGGCATTTATGACACTCAATGGGACATGCAGGCCACACACTTTGCGGTGATTTCAGCTCCATGGCTGGTTTGTCGTGTCTTCCCATAACGGTTTCTTGCAGCATCCCCCTCTAACCAACGAATGAATACATGAGCCATTGCTCATAATAAGATGGCTGGAGCTGGAGATGTCACGCCGCTTATACGCATCCTTCGAGAACTCGCAAATGTCATTGTGAAGAAGTTGTCCCCAAAAGGGTCGGGCGTCTGGTCCAAAAGCAGCGTCCAAAAACGCTGCTTATGCCATCGTGCCGCGCCTCGCGAACTCTGGGCACTGAGCTTTTTGACCGCGGACTCGCGGCTAAGGGTCCCATGACCTTCGGCCTCGGCTCGAGCTCGATTCTGAAGAATCCCGCTCAGAATGTGTTTTCCCTTTTCCCTTTGCGTTGAATGTTGCAGGCAAAACAAAAACGGCAATCTGAAACGCCCCGAAACTCAACATCCTCCCAAAATGCACTGCGAAGGATGGATGCTAACTTGCGGCTGAGGGCCTCACGCGAAAGCCGTCAACCTTTTGGATGGAGTGAACCATCGCTGATAACCTTAGCTGCGTCGACTTTCAATCAACAAGACTCCACGCACAGTGGAACCCATCTATTTCTAACCAAACTTACCTAAAAAGGACACAACAAAGCTCCACGTTTCCGGCCTCTGGAGTGCGGACCCCTGACAAAACTGGCCGTGGCTCGCTCGAGTCATGTGATGCGTTCCGGGCCTTGGGGCTGCGGAGCGTAGCGCGCTGCTGAAATTGAACGGCGGCTGTCGGACACCATGCTTGAAGTCCTGCACCATCATCGGGTGCCAAACACGCCAGTCTAGGAAAGGCAAGGACCAAATCGATTTGGATGACAATCCCTAGGCGAACAATGGTGGTTAACATGAATTCAACCATTGCTTTAATGGTTGTTTGAACCCCATCAGCTAATGGCAACACCAGCGGTCCTTGTCCAGCACGATGTACGTATCCCGTCCTGTGCCGTCCTCAAACAGTATGCGCTGGTTCCAAGACATCCAACGGCCACGCGATGAGCAGCGGAAGGCTCCGCTGCTCATAAGCCAAGCTGCAGAGATGAAGACGGGAGTAATGCGAGTCACCATCGCCAGTGCGCGTCTTGTCAACTTGCTTGCAAACTTCAAGCGAATTGCGTAAACCGTCAATGCTTGGTGTGCCATACATTCCTTCTCTCTCAGCGAACTGATTGAGGACACAATTATGCTGCAGCTTTTAAGCCAAGAAAGCGACATGACTTGACTGCCGTTCTTGCTTGAAGAACATGTCTGAATGTATGACCATCTCTAGAATGTCTCATCCATAGACCCCGCTGTCCACATTCTTATCTGACATGTGTTGCAGGTGCTTTATCATGGCACTTTTTCTGTGAAACCATATTATGCTCGAGGAAGCCTCTGTCAAAAGGATGAGCCGTGCTTGGAATGCTCATGACATCGTACAACAATAGTAAGCCAGCAACCGAGATTTTGACAAAGGCTGTGATACGTACCCAGGTTCTGCCAGCAATTCACTCTGCACCCTGGGGCCCTACTTGCTGCACTGACCAAGCATGCCACTCAGTGGAGGATCAATGCCCTGACATCATCATGGTCACCTCGGCCATTCGTCCAAGGCTTGCATGGTCACAAGCAAACGCATTTATGCCCTGGGGTCCATGCATATTCATCATATCTGAAAAAACCATCAACACTTTCCTCGGCAATGCGCTGCTGAGTCTTGCTTGCAAAATGACTGAACTCAAAACAGCGACTGCGAATGCAAGCTGGGGTCGATTTGAGCCACAAGGTTCTTGGCCTCTTCAGCTGTTAGCTTTTCCCGGCCGTACACCTGCAGAATATGCTGGTGCTTTCCGGAACAAACATGCGCCATGCACTTTCTGTCAGCAAACCCCTCTACCAGCATTTGCTAACTGTCGAGCCTGCAGCGCATGCTCCAGATCTTTCACCCGAATGCAGCCATCCGGTGCTGTGCCCGCAAACACCTGCATTGATAAGTTCACTGGATTTTGCAAGCACATACAGGCATAAGGATGCCTGCATTCAGGATGGCATAATCAAAGACCCACTGTAATTTCTTGGGTCCATGGCACATTCTGGGGCAGAAATTTAGAGGATCGGGCAGACAATTGGAGCAATGTTCGCTCTCCTAGCCTTGAAGGCCTTCCGGACTTCATCCGCTGTGTAGTCTGTGTTGACCTGGCCATCGGTGACAGGAGCAGGTGGCGCTTCATTTAATTTGATTCTTAGTCCCTGGCTTTCCTGCACATGACTTGCACGAACTCCTGGCAAGCTATGCTCCCATCTCTCCGGCTTCAAGCTGAGAGTCCATCCATGTTTCTCCCGCCAAGCCAAAGCTCTGTCCTCAAAGTCGATCTCTCCATTGCCGTTCCTGAGCGGCGCTCGCGCTCGTGCGGCGCCATGCGAACCCGGAGAAAGAAGAAAAAAAAAGGAAAACAAATATTGAAAAAAAAAAATCCGCCCGAGCGGTGCATGGGAACGGAACCCGCAGCAAACCCCCCCAAAACAATCCGACGAGAACCATCCGCCGGAGGCGCTCGTCGATCTCGGAGACCATGAGCTTCAGCTCCTCCGGACTGGTGCCTCGGATCGATGCCCCACGGCCCAAGCCGCGAGTGGCGAGTGGCGGGCGCGGATGGCCGCCCGTGTGGAGGTCATCTGGGGGTCTACCCGGGTACCCCCCCCATGTGGGTCTTAAGCTGCCAGTTGTGGTTGAAACACTTTAAACAATTCCGTGGCTTTCTGCATATATGCGCTGGCGACTAGGCGCATGTTTGCTTTTGCGAGCCATGGTCGGAAGACGTCGTAAAACTCAGTGTGTTGCACCATGTTTCGTATTAAAATCACATCGCCGTCAATACCCGCTCTCATTTTAGGGTACCCCCAAGATGGCGGTGTTCCCTCCCTTTGGTTTTCCTTTAAAAGCACCAAACAAGAGGTGCCCTCAAAAATAACAGAGACACCCTGATGGTCGTTCAGCTCCTTTTCAAACAATTAAGCGAGCATTCAAGTTGGTCCAAAGTCGCCGATGTTTGACCGTCGCTGCTGCCTTTGCACTATGCACCGCCACCAATTTGTTTCACTGAGGCGGCAGCGAATACCCAGCGTGTCCATAAGCCTGCGCACTGCCAAGGGGTCCGCCCGTGCACCCAGCAACTCCTTGCGAACTTTCTTCCATTGTGCTTCTGGCAACTATGCTGATTCAACAATGATCCTCTGCAACAACTGCTGCCCCTGGTCACAACTGATGTTGCACATGTGATGGCCAAGTCACCCTTGACAAATCGACTCCGCCAAGCTCAAAATGCTAAAGATGATTAAACTTGTGACCTGAGATCAGTTCCCAAACATCTCCTGCGACATGCTCTGTTGGACACACCCATATTACCCCTCCAAAATCGGGGTGGTTTCACCTCTTGAGGGAAAGCTGCTTAAAAGCTGCAATGCAGCCAGAAAGTACAAAGCTACTAACTTGCAATATGAAATGTCGTCAGTTGGTGGAGATTTGATTTAAACAAATTGCAAGTCTAAAGTTTGTCTAAACAAAACTATAGCGATTAAATGCCTAATGTTTATCAACTGAGTTGGCCCTCGACCCGTCATGTTTGACTGTTTGAAGGGAGCGTGAGGGCTTACTCATAGGCTGTCAACAAGCCCCGGTGCCTGATATCTAGACGATCCCCTGTTTGACCTGACGTCTTCCGGATTGCTGGGCCGGGCGCCTGGCAAGCTCCTCGGTACCAATGGAGCCCCCTCGGTCTGTATCGACGAGGTTGAAGATCTCTTGAAACTCCTGCAAGTCCTGGGCAGCCGCCAGCAACGGTGCAGGGCGAACAGAAGGCAAGGCTTTTGCAAGATCCTTACAGAAGGTGTCAAGCAACTCCTGGCCTCATCTGAAAGATTCGGATGCTTTCGCGCGGCATCACCTCGTTGTGTGTTGTGCTTTGGTCCCCCTAAACGCACGGGGTTATGTATGCGCGCTGTGTGCGTGTGTGTGTGTGTGCTGTGTGCGGGTGCGCGCGAGTGCGCGCGTGTGTGCATCTATGCGCGTAGGCGGCTGTGAGGGCGCTCGGGCGTGCTTGCGTCCGCTTGTGTGGGCTCGTGACTCAACGCGTGCGAATGCGTGTGCGTTTGCATGTGCGTGCCGGTCAGCGTGTGACTGTTTTGTTTGTGTGTGTGTGTGTGTCTGTGTCTGTGACTGTGTCTGTGTCTGTGTCTGTGTCTGTGTCGGTGTGTCTGTGCGTGTGCATGCGTGCGTGTGTGCGTGTTGGTGTGCGGGTGTGCCTGTGTGTGTGTGTGTGTGTGTGTGTGTGTGTGTCTGTTTTCTGAATGTGTGTGTCTTTGCGTGTGTGTGTGTGTGTGTGTGTCTCCGTGTCTGTGTGTGTGTGGGTGCGTGTCTCGCGTTGTGTGCGTTTGTGTGCTGGTGCGCGTTTGTGTGTGTGTGTCTGTGTGCGTGGGTGTGTCTGCGTGTCTGTGCGTCTGTGTGTGTGTGTGTTTCTGTGTGCTTGTTTGTTGTGCCTGCGTGTCTGTGTGTGTGTGTCTGTGAGTCCGTGCATGCGTGTGTGTGTGTGTGTCTTTCGTGTGAGTGTGTCTCTGTGTGTGTGTGCGTTGTGTGTTTGTGTGTGTGTTGTGTGTTGTGTGTTGTGTGTTGGTGCGTCTGTGTGTGTATGTGTGCGTGTGTGCGTGTGCGTGTGCGTGCGCGTATGCGTGTGCGTGTGTGTGTGTGTGTGTGCGCGTGCGCGTGTGCGTGTTCGTGTGGGTGTGTAGGTGTGTGGGTGTGTGTGTGTGTGTGGGTGGGTGGGTGGGTGGGTGGGTGGGTGGGTGGGTGGGTGGGTGGGTGGGTGGGTGGGTGGGTGGGTGGGTGGGTGGGTGGGTGCACGTGTGTTTGTTTGTTTGTGTATGTGTGTGGTGTGTGTGTGTGTGGGTGCGTGTGTTGCGTGTTCTGTTGTGTGTATTGTGTGTCTTGTGTGGTGTGTATGTGCGTGTGCGTGTGTTGTGTGTTGTGTATTGAGTTGTGTCGTGTGTGTGTGTTGTTTGTTGTATGTGTGTTTGTGCGCGTGCATGGGAGCATGCGTGCAGGTGTGGGTGTGCCTGTGCGGCTGCGTGCCTGTATGTGCTTGTGATCGTGCTCGTGTTTTTGTGTGCTTGTGATTGTGCGTGTTGCGCTTTGGAAGCTAGTCACTTTGTGGGCGTGCGAGCACGTGGGTGCCTGGCTCATTGGGTGGGCCTGTGCACTTGTGTGTGTGTGTGAACATCCTGGCAGATAAGCGAGCAACAGTGAAAACAGTAAGCTACTCGGCTTTCAATTCCATATTTTCTTTTGCGCACGCTTTTGCAAACCAATAATTTCATTTGATGGTATGCCATGTGTCTTTGTCACCAATGCTTGTGCTCATGATCCAATGCAGCAGGTCACTTGCCGAAGCCATGGCGTTGCAAGGGCAGCACACAAAGCTTGAGCTGAAGCCTGCGGCAAAATAGTACACCATGCCGCATCTTTAGGTGAGTCGCAATCAAAACCTGGTACTAAAATGGTCTACCCAGAACCATGTACAGGATTAAGAAGGCGGCTGCAGCTAAATATGGTTGGGATCGTCCCTTACTAACCTTCATCTACCCGGGTTTTGATTGTGGCTCAGGTTCCAAAACTACGCCTCATTCAAGACAACAGCGTCCAACAATGAGTCGCTTGAGCAAGACTTGAGTGGAGCTCTGCAGCAGCTTGCAGTTACTTCCTTGTTAGCATGGCCAGCACGCGCACAGCATTGTTGAATTCATAACCTGAACAAGCGGATGGCTTATCAGTTCATTCATCCAGCGCTATCACAGCGTACGGGTAATGAATCTGAGCATCAACTGATAAGTCTCCACAAGTACTTCAAACTCATGTTCATCAGTGTTGGAAGCTCTTTGCAGCATAAAAAGTCGCAGCTGGCGCCCAAAACTCAGGCCTATTGGAATGTACAAGCCAGCTTGCTTCTGAGAGCTTCAAGAAGCAGCCCGGTGACGAACACATGGGGCTGCTTCCAAATGGCCATGGGTCAAAAGCCAAATCGTACCCCCAGTGAACATCCCAATCCGACCACTAAAATAGGAAGCCTAACATGGGTGGTGAATGCACCCACCAACCAAAATGGGACCCAAAACGGTTTTGACCCACAGCCAAGTAATCACAAGGCGCCCAGTACCATCTCTTTGTCTTGGTACTTTTGCGCGGAAAGCTTCTGCACCTTGCGGCCAAGCAGGAGGTGAGGATATCTCGCATTGGAATTTTTGGCACGAAGCAAACCCGAAAAGAAAAGAAAAGAAAAAGCAAAAACGGAGACAAAGAACCAGGGTGTCTCTTTTTAGGGGAAACTCCTCCCTCCCCCCCCCACCCTCCCCAAAAAAAAAAAGACAGGCGCTGAAGCTGCTGTTGGTGTCCCCTTCAAAGCCCACCACTGTCTCAAAGGTCTGCGGTCCGCTTTGGACGCCCCCAAGCGGACTCTCAGCCGGGGCCGCGGGCGCGCACCAGCTCCTTCCGCAGCCTCTCGGCTTCCTCACGCGCGGCCTCGCGCGCGTGCAAAAGAAATCGAATCCTGGGGCTTGAAAGACGTGAGAACCACCTAACAAGCAGAAGGAAAACAATAAACAAATATACATATATATAATATATATCGAAATCAGGAACACTTTTCAAGGAAATCAGACAAACACCCGAGAATGAGTCTTTGGTCAATTGCTGGATAATATTCATGATCTTCCTGTCGCTGTTTTTTTGGAAGCCCCTTTCTTCGATGGCAACAAACCCATTCTGATAGCGGCAATCGACCAAAGCAAGTGCCTTGTGCAGCTGCTCCATCTCAGCCTTCGTCGCATCGACTTTGCCCGAAAAGGGAAAAGACAAACAGGGATTCTACATTATGCACCTGAACATTGCCTTGTAAATGGTGGTTTCCCTTAATTTTGGTGGACAAAGCCATGTTTCAAACGGGCAAAATGTATCTTGTAAGGAGCCCTGTCAAAGGGAGATTCTACAGGAAACAGATTACTTCCTACTTGCTGGTGCGAGAGATGCAGAGAATGAGAAATGGAACGACGACCCCGGAACGGTTCATTTCCACATTCCCTACTGTTCGCAGCGGCAAGTGTTTAAGGTGTTTTGGCAACTGCCCAAGGTGCCAAGGGGCCAAGGAGTGGGGCTCTCACTGAGACGCTTTCTCATGCCGGAAGGCACCAGTGGCATGTTGTCACGTGGCAGCGTCTCTGGCGAGTCTGAGTGGCCTCTTCCACCGCCTCTTCCATGAGCTCCACCTGGACGCGTTATTGCCTGTGAGATAAATCAGTGAATGCTTAAAAACGTCAAGGGCAGAAATGATTGGACTGGAACGAGCACTGCTTGTTACCATGGCAGTGCCAAAACCGCTCAAAAGGAGCTCAGCACTCTTGGGGTCCCAGCCAGGGATTGACCTCGAGCATCCACTGGCCACGCTCCAGGCCCTGCAGTTGAGGCTCCGCTTTACCTTTGCCGCTTTGCTTTACTCCGGCCTGAGGATGCACATGTGACGCTCGAGACATCCTCCTGCATGTCGAGATCACTCCCCGCGCAAGATTGCCTGGTGCCACAGTAAACAACTCATCGGGCCTGACGCTCGTGACATCGTGTTGGCCTCGGCCAGGATAGCCTGAGCGAGCTAAGTTTCACAAGACGAAGTGCCACCTCCGCTCTCAAGAATCTCCGGTCTGCCAATCTACTTTTTAGAGCCGCTCCTATCCCTTCTCAGTCTGGAAGGGCAAGCATTAAGCTTGGTCCCACATCCGTACCCAGAGTTTTGCAGAGTCGCCATCTTGGACACAACCCCTGCCTGGAATTTTGGAAGCCCGGAGATGGTGCGCCTCAGTTGCTTTGAGCTGCTGCAAGGCTGCAAGTGGTAGTGGAGCAAAACCGCAAGCTAAAAACCAACCTTGTAGCCAGATGGAGTCATTTTTTTTTTCCCCGAGCCATACTCGATCTGGGCTTAGAGCTTTGGTAGCAGCGAGCCTCCTGCAAAGTGGATGCAAGTTTGGAGACCTCAGGCGAAGAGATATGCATCGCCAGCAACATCCAGCAAGATAATATGGGGGTGTTTGTGCACGGGCGTTTTACTCACGCAAACTGCCAAGTCTGAGATTTGAATCCTGCCAGCCTTTTCAAAACACTCTGACAAGATGCCAACTCTGTCTGTGTGTGTCAGCCTTTTCAAAACACTCTGACAAGATGCCAACTCTCTGTGTGTGTCTTTGTTTGACTGTCAGCCTTTTGAACACACTCTGACAAGATGCCAACTCTGTGTGTGTGTGTGTGTGTCTTTGTTTGTCTGTCAGCTTTTTCAAAACACTCTGACAAGATGCGAACTCTGTGTGTCTGTGTGTGTTTGTTCTGTCCGGAGCTAAGGGAGGACACTTGCTACTACGTATTCTAGCTCAATCACACATGTGTCCCGCGTTTCGTTTTGCTCTTGGTTTGGTGTTGCTCTTGCGTCTCGCAGGTCGCGCTCACGTCTTTCGTACGCACGCAGTCCTGTCACTGTCTCCGTACTTCTCAGCTTGTCCGCTTTACCTGGACTCTTTGTTGGATCCCCTGACCCTGCCGAGTGACCTCTGACCACAGCGGTTCCCGTTGAACTTTGCATCTCTCGGTGCTCCTTTGGCCAGTGTGGCTTTCAATGCTGCAGCAGTCTTTGTCTCTTCCCTCTTCCGCAGCACCGTTGTCCCTGCACCGCAAGGTTTTGACTTGCCGCACCCCATACTGCAACCCCCGGGACTTCCCGTGAGCGCTCGCGAGCGCCTCCACCAGTGCTCTTGGCTGTCAGCCAGCAAACAAACTATGTTTGGGTTTTGTTTAGGCAGTTGGTGAAACGAGCACTTGATATAGTTTGCTCTGTTGTTCGGGGGGTCACACGCTCAGATCTAGGCAAAACATGCAGCAAAATGTGTTTCTAATCTAAGCAAAGTGTGCGACAAGGGGCGAGAGTGCAAAAATAAGGACACTTGGCAGCCCGAAACTTTGGGTAGGTTCAGTGGGCCTTTCACAGTTTGCCTTTCGCCTCAGCGAAACAGTCAACACCGGACTTTTCGAGCGACCTTTCCAGTAGAGTTGACCTTCACGTGTGGTGGGCGCCCGGCGCCGCCACCATGTTATATGTGTGTGCGTGTCTCTGTGTCTATGCGTGTATGCGTGTCGGTGCGTGTGCCTGTGCGAGTGTTTGGGCGTATGTATGTGTGCCTGTGTGCACAGTGCAAACCCTTGAAGAAAGGTGCTTCCGTGCAACATCTCATTCTAGGCTTGGCTGCAAGACAAAACGACTGCAAACAGACCAGCAAGCAAGTTAAAAAGGAAACAAACAAACATGCGCATGGAACTCACGCGCACAAGCACATGCAACCACACACTCTCACAGACATGCGTGCGCACCAACTCTGAGTAAGGCATACACACGCGCACACAAACACACACAAACAACGCGCACGCACGTATGCATTCAGGAAGCACGCGCGCACCCACCCACCCACCCGCACGCACGCACGCATGCCTTAAAAGAGGACGCAGCGGCAGCGACTGGAACAACATGAGGGAGAAAATTATGGCTGTCCTGCGTGTCATGACATTGCAAAGATTCTCAGGACAGTGTCAATCTTCTGCTCTGCACACCTATGGGAAGGCCTGGCTTGCGCGCACAAGCTGGCGTTACGCAACAAAACCTGTCTTAAAGTCGTGTCCTTTTGGGGGAGATGGCCTTGAGGATCAAACCACCAGCTAGACCAGGGCCATCTATTTTGTACCAAAACAACCGAAAAGGGCACCTATGGGCCTTCTGTTACTCACAATGACCAACACAAGCGGCGGCTGGTTGCTGGGCCTGCCTGGGGCTTCCAGCCTGCCCGTCAAGCTGGCTGAACTCCTGCTGCAAGAAGCTGTCCAGCCAGGCAGGTAGATCCTTGGCAAGGCTGCCTCAACTCTCAGATCTGAGAAGGCTGTGGGTCCAAAATTCGGCACCCAACATGGAGCCTTAGTAAATGGAAGCATGGACCAAAATTCCTGCGGTCCAATTCCTGGAGGTGAAAATTTTGACCCACACCCAGAGCGCCAAGGAAAGAATGCACACCTTGAGAGCGGCGCCCATTCTCCAACTTGGGGCTTGACATGGCACCACTCCTGCCGTCTGCGCAGCGGAAGGCTCAGCAACTCTGCACTATACTTGACGAGACATCAAGGGTATAGCGTTTTTTGACAGTTGCGCGTTTCCCCCGTTGGCATCCTTTCGAGAACCGTCCAAAGAAAGTAGAAATGAAAGCGACCTACCTGCCAAGCCGACCGTGAGAACACTCGGAAGGCTGCCTGGACAGCCTGCTGAGCTGCAACTGCCTCAGGCTGAGAAAAGCAGACGTAGCTGCAGAGTTGACATTGCATTCCATGTGAACCCCGATCATAGAACTACTCTTCAATGAGGAAGGCTCATGGTTTCGTCACTCGCAAAAGAAACAGCCACGCCTTCCGCAAAGCCCTTCTGGCACCCGCCGCGAGAGTTCCTCGGCATGACTCGCTTGAACGAAACTGGCAGGTTACAAAGGGGAGCGAACCCTGAAAAAATGAAACCAGTTGGAGGACGATGCCTGATTCTGCTCCTAAAGGCAAGCTGACTTATTTCCAAGCCAGTTCTCGCGGCTGCAACCAACTACGGGGCCCAAAGCTGATCCGTGGATGTTGTGAAACCTGGTGTTTTGCCCATGTCATATGTGAATAATTGCAAGTCAATTTGAATGTAGACGAATACAAAGCCCAGCCGGGCAGCCAATCTGAAACGTCCACATGAACAATGGTCCTAAAGAGCAACTCCCTTCAACCACCAGTAGAGCCGGCGAACCCGGCGGGCAGAAGTTGCAACATTAAGAACTATCGCTTGGAGCACGCTTCTTTGCCCCTTCTCTCTCTCTCTCTAGTTACCTTTCTCTGTCTGTTTCTCGCTTTCTCGGTTTCTCTCCTTCTGTCTTTCCCTCGTTCTCTCATTATCTTTCTCTCTTTCTCCCTTTCTCCGCTGCTCCTTCTCTTTCTCTTTCTCTTTCTCTCTTGTTTTCTCTTCATCTGTCTCTTCCTTCTCTCTCGCTTGCTCTTTCTCTTTCTTCCCCTCTCTCTCTCTCTCTCGCGCTCTCTCTTTCTCTATTTCTTTCGTTCCCTCGCTCTTTCTCTTTCTCTTTCTCTCTCGTGCTCTCTTCCCTCTCTCTCTCTCTCTCCCTCGCCCGCTCTTTCTTTCTCTCTTCTCTATTTTGCCCGCTCTCTATTTCTCTTTCTCTTTCTTTTTTTTGTTCTCTTTCTCTTTGTCTCTCTCTCTCTCTCGTTCTTTCTCTTTCTCTTTCTCTTACTCTCTCGTTCTATCTATTACTTTCCTTTTCTCTTTCTCTTTCTCCCTGTCTCTCTTTCGTTTCGTCCCTCCCTTGCTTTCTTTCTCTCGCCTGTACAAACGTCGCGACCGATGCAGGGCCATGTTTCGGCCCGCTTCCATTCCCCAGTTCTCGCGTGTTTCCAGCTTTTGCGGCTTTGCGGGTAGCCTTTTCACGCGCAGCGCATCTGGTCTTAAAGATCACGCGCAGGCAATGCAGTCTTGAGGAGAGCTAGCTCAAGCAGTTAGCAAACCTACAGAAGTTCCAAACCTAAACTTGCTTTGATGACGCCCTGCGGCCTTTTTGTGCAGTTCAGCGTGACCACCGCCTACTCGTCTTAAACACTTCTCCATGGCTATACGGAATGCGAACATTGCAATTTGGCTTGCAGCTACAATGTCAGCCCTCAGCAAAACACGAGGCTTAACTTGGTCGCTGTTGACCCCTCTGCAAAAAGTTTAACTGTTTGTGGGTTTAATGGAAAAAACCCTCGACTTCCCAAAAAGTTGAAGTCTAAAGATCCAACCCAATAGCTCTACACAAGAACAACAAGCCCCAGGAAAGCTGCTGCGTGCCAACAGGCCTCACTCCTGTTCTTTGTCCCGATTGAAACTAGCCGGCTCCCAAAGCTTTGGCCAAGGCGAGCGTCTTTGCCCACGCTCTAGCGCCACAACACGCTTTGCCAAAGACCTTGCCGTGCCAGATGCTCCTGGCAAGGCATTTGAGCGAAGCCACTTGCTGATTTAGCTTCGTGTAAACTCCCACTTTTCTTGCTGGTGCTCAGCAGGGAATGAGGGAAAAACCATCCCCTATGGTTTCCTTCAAGGAATCCCCAGGTTTATTCCTAATTCCTTGCTGAGCACCAGCAAGTTTTCTGCATTGCCTTTCTATCCGCTGTCCTTTCTCGAGGCTTGTGCGTGAACGGGGCACCTTCCCGATGTGCTCTGCCAGTGCAGTGACGCTGGAGTCCTCAAGTTCACTCACCACTCAAATAAGCCATGGTTGATTTAGGAATCCTTGCAATTGTGGCTGTTTAGACGTACTTCAAAGAAACGAGAGAGAGAGAGAGAGAGAACAGAGATGGTATCCAGCCGCTCATCCACCTCGGAACCACTCGGAACCTCCCTCTGGCACCCTCCGGATCTCTCCACTCCAGAGAATACCTGGGCAAAGACCCATAGCTTTCAGCTGTTGGGGGCAAAAGGGAAGATAGAGAGCGACAGAGAGAGGGGGAGAGAGAGAAGGAGAGCAAAGGAGAGCAAAAGAGAAAGCAATGCAGGCAACAGAGATAGAAAGAAAGAAAGAAAGAAAGAAAGAAAGAAAAGAAAAGAAAAGAAAGAAAGAAAGAAAGAAAAGAAAAGAAAAGAAAGAAAGAAAGAAAGAAAGAAAAGAAAAGAAAAGCAAAGCAAAGAAAAGAACAGAAAGAAAGAAAGACATCAAGAAATAAAGAAATAAAGAAATCAAGAAATAAAGAAAGACAGAAAGAATGAAAGAAATAATGAAAGAAATAATTAAAGAAATAATTAAAGACAAAGAGAAAAATAAAGAAAGGAAGGAAGGAAGGAAGGAAGGAAGGAAGGAAGGAAGACTGAAAGAAAGGAAGAAAGGAAGAACATAAGGAAGAAAGAAAGAAAGAAGAAAAGAATGGAAGGAAGTAAGGAAGTAAGGAAGACTGGAAGAAAGGAAGAAAGGATGAAAGGAAGAAACGAAGAAAAGAAGAATAGAAGAAAGGAAGAACGGAAGAAAGGATGAAAGGAAGAAACAAAGAAAGGAAGACTAGAAGAAAGGAAGAAAGGAAGAAAGGAAGAAAGGAAGGAAGGAAGGAAGCAAGGAATTAAGGAAGTAAGGAAAACTGGAAGAAAAACACAAAAGAAAGAACAGACAAAAAAACGCATGAAATAGAAAGCAGGAAGGAAGGAAAGAAAGAAAGAAAGATAGAAAGGTAGAAAGATAGATAGAAGAAAGAAAGAAAGAGATATAGAAAGGTAGACATAAAGAAAGAAAGAACAGACAGATAAAAAAAAAAAAAAAAAAAAAACGAATCAAATAGAAAGAAGGAAGGAAGGAAGGAAGGAAGGAAGGAAGGAAAGAAAGACAGAAAGATAGAAAGGTAGAAAGAAAGAAAGAAAGAACACAATAAGTAAGGAACAAGTCAGCATAAAGAAAGAACAAAGAAAGAAAGACAGAAAGAAAGAAAGAAAGACATAAAAGAAAGAAATGAAGCAAGAAACAACACAAGGAAAGAAAGACATAAAAGAAAGAAAGAGAGAAATAAAGAGAGAAAGAAAGAGAGAAAGAAAGAGAGAAAGAAAGAGAGAAAGAAAGAGAGAAAGAAAGAGAGAAAGAAGAGAGAAAGAAAGAGAGAAAGAAAAAGAAAGCAAGGAAAGGAAGGAAGGAAGGAAGGAAGGAAATAAATAAGGAAAGAAAAGGATATATCAGGCAAGAAAAAAAGGAAATAAGGACAGAGAGAGGGATAGAGATTGTAGCGCGCAATCTCATGTGCGAGTCACAACACTCAGTAGTGTCCATTCCTCAATTTAATCAAGCGTCGATCCGTTGAACATCTTCACCCAGCTTGTCCAGCCTGCTGTTCGCTGCGCTGCGAAGCATGCCGATTTGGACCGCATACCACAAGCGAAACACGAGCCCTCACATCAATCTTTCCAGCCTCTCTCCTAAATGTAGCAATGCTTCATGAAGCATTCGACTGTATGCATCTGCAGAAGCCGACTCCGTCATGGTAATGACACCAATGGTGGAGCACATTGCGTCTGCTGGCAGTGCGCCGCGCAGGCCGATTCGATGAGATACTGGCATGGGCAGATTGGGTCAATGCTTGTGTTGCCGAGTAGTAGATTTCGCCACATTTCGGGTCTGGCCCTCAATTGCATACAGGCGAGAATCCTGGCTTGTGTGTACTTGCTGCTCGTCATTCTAGGCAACGTGTTGTGGTCGAGCGAGTCTTGTAACTTTTGAGAAGGCGCTCTTCTCTGCCATGAAAGCCTTCTGGCTCTTCTCTGCCAATAAAAGCGCTACCGCTTGATCCGGCAAAGGTGTTTCTTCCTCCCAAGTGGAAAGGACATGGCCACCCCTGAGCACCCTCTCAAGGCAAACTTCTTCAGTTGGAGCATCCTATCGGGGAGGCCTGCACGTCTTGCCTGAAAGCTTTGGGCTGAAAGGAAAAGAAAAGTCGGACCACTTACGGACATGCATGTCCCCAGCCAAAATCGACGCACGCAAACTATTATCTGTGTGCGTGCTGTGTACTGCTTTCAATGTCTGTGTGCCTGCTTGAATATGATTGCTTGGCTGGTTATGTATTGCCAACATCTTGCTGCAATGCAATCATTTCATTAGTTGAGGCGAATGCAGTTCAAATTGCAAGAAACAACTGCTGGATCACCGACGTGCATGCAGTGATCGGTTGCTGTATGCAATGTTAAATTGCTGTGAATATCTGAAAAGTCTTGTGGCAAGCTCAATCCCGACGCTGTTCCGAATGCACTGGCAACATTCGAGTGTTGCTTATGCTATGTACATATTGCCCTTGCCATTTCGGGGCAACTTTGTGGGTGACACAAACTAAAATACAACTACCTAGCTCAGCATGCCCTTAACCTTGAGCGCGATCACGCCTTGCCAACGACCTAGCAGTGGACACGCACTCTGAGGTTGGGGTATCATTTTGAAGAGCTGCAACTGCACCATCAATCTTTAAGCGCCAGGGCTCCCTGTATTTCCCCTTAGAACATCGCCCCCAAGGACCAGCTGCACCTTTCATGGGCCGAAAAGGTGATGTTTAAAAACAACCAAAAAGGGAAATTTAGGGACCCCCTGAGCAATCTCTCTGCTTGCCCTGGGATGCTTGCAGAGGTCCTGCCTCAGCTCGGTACATGGTTTCTGATCTTTCCGATGCAGCGCGTTACATGGGTATGAGTTTTGATTGGGGACCCTTTGGTGACATCATTGGGGATTCATGCACACCACTTGCGAGGTGGTTCCCCCTAAAAAGCAAAAAGAAACAACAAACACATGGCCACGTTGGCAACCGTTGGCTCGGCAGGGTAAGCTGGCGGCCCTTTGGGGGCATCATCATGGACAGCCGTTGGACCTGCAGTTCTAGCCCAGGGCCATGTCGCGCTCTGCAGAGCTCACTTTTGGCTGTGGGTGAAACATATGTACCCAAAATGGATTCCTGGCAAATGAAAACATGGACCAAACCCTGCGGTCCAATTCCTGATGGTTTAATTTTTACCCATACCCATTTTTGCGAGCCGAGGATGCCGCGGATGGAGCGTTGATCTCTGGCTTTTCCGGGTCCGACCTACAGGACTCATTTCAACCTTGCATGCAAAAGCATGGAGATGGACTGAAGTGAAGCAATGCGGAGATAGACAGGCAAAGAGGAATGGGCTCAGCTGCTATGCTGCGCATGCAATGAACGGAATGTACTTCTGAAAGTTTGACACTCCGGAATTTGCTGCTTGGCTTGGCAACTTCCAAGGCTGCAGCTCTGATGATGATTCGATTCCCGGCACCTGGTGGGACTGCAATGAAGCCAGGGACCGAAATGGTCCCAATACATCTACTATGCCGGAAATAACCCGTTGTTTGGCACACGTGCAAAAGACCATCAAATGCAGCAATTGCGCGGAGGGCAAGGCCCCTGCCCCTGAGTCAAGAGGTCAGCCAAAACAAGGAGCCTTTTGCGTACACGTGCACGCCAAGGTTTTCACTCGTCAACGACCTGGTCGGCCGTAAACACCAGTTGCATCGAAGCTTCTTCTTGAGAGGTGGCGGTTGGGGGTTGGGGTTGGGGGTTGGGGCTGTTTAGTTGCTTGCCGGGGGTTGGGGGTTGGGGGGGTGGGAGTCGAGGGTTGGGGGTTGGGGGTTGTCGAGGGTTGCGGGGCGGAGCGGGGGCAATACACACGGTATGGGGTTGTCTGACTTGCGCGTCGGCAATGTCTGACTCGCGCGTTGCTGATGTCTGACTCGCGCGTCGGTGTTGTCTGACTCGCGTGTCTGTGTTGTCTAACTCAGTTGCCTGTTGTCTGACACGGTCTACGCTCACATGCCCATGCACTGTCGTGGCAAATATCCTGTTTACGTTGGCCGTGCCTGAGCCACACCAGCCTCGAGCACCGAGGCACGGACAGCCTGGCGCCAATCTCCGTTGAATGGCCAAACGGCTATGGCTCCCTGAATAGGCATCCTTGTGTATGAAAATCAACCAGTTGTATGGGCCATGACTGGTGGTCTAGAGTTCTGATTAGACAAGTTGATAGCCATCTAACATCAAAGACAAGTTGCCAAGCCCTTAGCTTACTTGGCCAGCTGGCCATTCACTCTCATTTTGAATGTACCGACCAAACCAGCGGCCGGACCCTGTTCATCATCTTCGAGGCGTCTGAGCCGTGCGAGAAGGCCGAAATAGAGCCTTCACCTTCAGACCTGGCGCCAAATCGCAAGGTTCTGCGTCCCCATGATGCAGAACTTGCTGGTGCGATGAACACCCCAACCAAAACCCCAAAATCAAAAAATATTCAACCATCTTGCCATATTTGGTCCTAGCCTGACCTCGACCCCATAAGTCTTCAAACCAAAAACTGGAAAGTTTAAAGCTGGGGAAATGGAATGACCTCGATAAGTGGTTTCCTATAAGGAGACCCCCAGGTTCGTTCCTACATTCCCTACTTATCGCACCAGCAAGATAAGCCTCAAATTCCACAGTGTCTCCCCTCAATCTGCGGAGATCAGTTTCCAGAATCTAATTTCAGCATCCCTGCCTGTAGGATCGGGGTGTCTGCCTATGTCTTGCAATGGAATGCAAGAAAGGTGAGCAATGGGCGGGAGAAATGCGCCAAAAACGGCTTGAGGTGCTGACTGCCTGCTGGCCGAGGTCTCAGACCTCACAACTGGCCGTGGGTCAAAACCGGTTTGGGCTCCCATTTTGGTTGGTAGCTGAATTCACCACCCATTTTTGGCTTCCTATTTTAGTGGTTAGATTGAATCGAATGTTCACTGCGGGCACGGAATTTTGGCTTTGGGAAAACCCTCACCAGTCAGCTCATTCCCTGCCTTGCGGGAGATTGTCCCCGTGAACCCATGCGAGATCCGGCGCGTGAGCTCTCATGCGAGTTTCGGCCTCAAATCATCAAAATCACAGAGCTGCCACTGGGCTGCCACTGGCATCACCTTGCTGGTGTTCAATAGGGAATGAGGGAGTGAACCTGCACAAGGAATATTTTTAGGGGTCATTCCAATTTTCATTCCCTGCATCTCTTGCACCGATCGCAAGTCACTGGCACCCACTCACACGCTCAGGCTTCCACGAGACCCAGTCATGGCTGCGCCAAAGCGGGAGGAGCGGACGCTGCTCCTGGCACTACACGCTTGGCCAGAGCCCGGCTGCTCAGCTGGCGCCTGCTGCTCGCCAGCGATGACCTCAAGAGTCAGTCTCCAAGAGCAATAAAAGAACCCTCAGGAGTCATAATCAAAACCCGGTGTTAAAGTGGTTGACCCAGAACCATGTAACGAAATATTTTAAGGCGGTCGCAGCTGTTTCAAGGCTGGGATTGTCCCTTACTAACCTTCATCTACCCGGTTTTGATTGTGGCTCACGTTAGTTTGACGGTGCGAGAGACACCTCGACTGGGTGTCATGGTTCCTTTCCCACGAGCTCTGTGAACCTGCTTGACACCCCATCCAAGGCAATGACTGAGCCCGTGGCTCCCCACGAGCATGCCGAGTACTGCGGCTTGCACCTGTATTCATTGGAGGCAATGCTGGAACCACTCTCATAAACTGCTTGCATTTGACTGCATACCCTGTCGATCCACTGCTTCGGTGCTACAGAGTAGTCTCTCTTTACTGTAAGCTTGACTTTTCGGCTTAGCTGCTTGATCGAAGAATCTGACGTCGTTGTCTTTTCGTCATTCCCCCAGTAATACTGCCCTGTCAGGCAAATTCGGCGCGGAGTGAGTGGCATCCACAAACTCCCGACTGGCGCACCATGCACGTAGGCCACGTACTTCGTTGGAAGCAGCCTGCGAGGGCAGAAAACAAGTCCATGTTGTTGGGCGTCATGAAGGAACGGTTGGAGGTCTAATTCTTGCGAGTAGGATACCTATCGATTGGTGTACTTACAATATTTGAGACTGGATCAAGCGTGCTGTCTTGATTGGTAGGTGTCTGCGTGTGCATTCCAGGGCATTGACTAAAGTCCCTGCACTCTTGCTGCCCAGTCCTCTCGATAGCCACTTTCTTGGAGAAGTTGGCACCAGGTTCAGGCAGGTAGCCAACCAAATCTGATTCCTGCATCACTGACTGCCCCTTCAAACATTCTCTATAACACTGTGTGCTGTCCTAGCTGGCCAACACTTTGGCAAATTCGCCAAGCATGGTAGATAAGGGCCTCCTCCAGAATAGGCCAGTTCTCACGCATGCCCACGATCACCTCTTCTTCGATGCCCATGACGTCCTGGCATTTAGGACAAGATTTGACATTCGTGGGAGTTCTCAAATCGGTGGTGTCCTCCCACCCATCCACTCGGAAACGCATCTTCAGCATCCTGCCACATAGGCAGCTCAGCGCCAGACTCACGGACTCAATGCAGCGAACTTACAAGATCAGCATGCCAACTTGTCCCAGTGACTTGTGACTTTCATGCCAAGCGGCTCCAAGAAATGATCCCGCAAGCGTGGCTTCACCTCCTGCAGTATGCAGTGGGAGTTGCGTATCCAATAGAATGCATTCCTTGCAAGTTGCATGTCTTTGGCAATGGACTGCTCTCAGGAAACAATATCAGACGTCCATCCTTCCCATGAGACACGAGTGCATGATGCTGTACTTTGCCAGTCATCAACAAGGAAGCTCTCTTCCTGCTGTACAAGCCTGTTGAATAGATCAAGCATCACAACAGTGCAAATATCTCAGGCGCACAATTTGGAGAACGTGGATGTCTTTCTTCTCCAGCCTTGTCCGGAATGGCTGTGAGCCAGAAATGTCTGTCAAGGAAAATTCGGCAAATCGCAACCTCTAAGATAGCTGAGCCCTGCTCTCTTCAGGTTTTTTGCCTCGAAGCTTGTTCCTGGCTCGGAGCATGGTTCACGTCTAAGAGTTTGCCAACCTGAACAAATAGCCAGGTAGCAAACAACTCCCAAGCCCCACTGACAAAGCAACCACAATGAATATGTTCTGATTGACTGATGGCTTCAACAGCCTCACAGGCGGTCTAATCTAGCCAAGGATACCACCAATCTTGTGTGCCTAACAACGGCGCACTGATATAATCCCACCCAATCGTCAGCTTTGGCATGTCATTTGCCAGTCACTCAGGAGAAGGCGCTTGGCAAGCTTCATTGACTCTTGCATAGCCAAGCTCGCCGCATCCTGCATGTCGAATGCGCTTGCAATCTACGTGTCGGCTATGCAAGCAACGTCATGCCAATCTAGCGTGTTGAACCATCCAACAGTCCAGCGCGCCTGCATGGCACCTTTCGCAACATCTGCAACCGCCGCGACTTTGCTTAGCGCCTTCCTTGCAGGACAACTTCTAGCCAGCGAAATTCTAAAACCCAACCTCATGAAGAGTAAGGAGTAGCACACATGTGCTGACAAGCAACCCCTTGACTCGGTCAAGCGATTCTTCGAACCTCAGAACGTCAGCAAATCACATGCAAGCGCAGGTCTTGATATCACATCCTGGTAAACCTCGGCTTCAAAATAGGTGGAACACGTACTTGTAATGTCGGCATCTCGTTGCATTTTAGCGACCCCCACAATCGAGCTGAGCGATTAGGAATATGTGTAAAGACTAAAAAGTTGAGATATGTGAGATAAGACAAATGATTCCTTTCTTCCGAACACCATTCCTTCTACCTCTGTTTTCAAGTCCTCTCGGGGCTGGCACTTTTCAAGGTCTTGCCAGAACTCCTCTTCCAACGCCTCAGCCTCCAGGCGCATCTCCTAGCGTCAGCATAACATGCTCTTGCGATCGGTGCGAGTGATGCAGGGAAGGAGGGAATGAGCCCAGGGATTCCCTGAAAGGAAAGGACCAGTTGGATGGCTTATGGGGGGGAATGAGAAGTGGCTCATGACCCCAAGAAAAACCATCCATCCGATTTGGTCTCCTTTATTCGGGAATCCCCAGGTTCATTCCCGAAAATTCCCTGAGCACCAGCAATATCTTCTCCCTAACTTCTCCGCTCATCCGGTGAAATGCGAAGAACGGAGTGCGGAGTGCGGACGCCGACTCCTCCGCCATTCGTACAGCTTCAATCTCAGTATCATCCTGACGAGGCAATGTGTCCAACTCACCGGTGCTTTGCGAAAGAGAACCAGCGTGGATTTCACAAGTGCTTATCAAGACAGCAAGACAGCAAGACTGTCACCTGCTTATTCCTCCTGCATTCCAAGAAAGACATGGGATAAAAAGAATGTAGGAAGCGAAGAAAAAAAAACAACGGCCATCTGGGCGAACTCAAAGCCGTCTTCAGCAGCTTGGCCTCGTAGTAGACTTTGCAATTTTCCCAGCACTGAGCCACCTCCTGCAAGCGAACCGCTTGGTTTCTACCTGTAAGCAACACTCCTTCGGACTCCTGTGAAGGTGTGACATGCCTTCCTTGATGGATATATGACCACCCCAACCACCTACTCCCCGAGTGCTTACGTCCTTTGACACCGTCGAGTCATCGCGAGTCCTGCCAGAAGATGTCGGGATTGACAAAGCCCTCTTCATCCTCAAGGAGTCGCTAATGTTGCCCCAGGGTTAATAAACCCGTGCCAGTATTAAGGGGGGTGTTCCCTCCAACAGTGGTCTGACTCCCCACTAAAAGGGGACACCCCCCTACTAATCAACCAGGGGTTTATTAATCCGGGGTTGACATTACAAAAGACAACTCTGTGAGTTGAGTAGGTGGAGTGATTGAAATCACTGGGATGACTGGAGTGACCACTTTGAGCTTGCCAGCCTTGTATTCCCCATCCTGCAGTCTTGCAGCTATGGTCCTGCCAACATCCCGTCACTTATCCAACTGAGCCGGTCTTCGGTCTTGCGTCCAACCGCAAGTTGCATGCTCAGTCCTCAAATCAATTGGATCTGATATAACCTCCACACGCAATACCGCCCAAATCGCGCGCAAGCAACATAGCACTGCCCACTCAGAACTGTGCCAGATGTCATGAAGCACACAAAAAGGACATCAAATGGAACCGTTGAATGTATGCCATGCTCTTCTTTCCTGTTCTATCTATATATTGCCGATGGCCCTGAAGGATGCCGCCCATCATTTAAAGTGGAGATGCATAAACAGCAACAGACAATATGTAAAACGCAAACAGCTCTTAAAAATATGTAGCTTGATATTGACTCGTCCGTTTCTCCGGGTTCACAAGCTCCACACACGCATGCAAGCACGCACACATCACTCCCTGACTCACTGACACGCTAACTCACTGGCTTACTGCTGACTCACTGACTGACTGACTGACTGGCTGACTGACTGACTGACTGGCTGGCTGACTGACTGACTGACTCACTGACTGACTGACTGACTGACTGACTCACTGACTGACTGACTGGCTGACTGACTGACTGACTCACTGACTGACTGACTGACTGACTGGCTGACTGACTGACTGACTGACTGACTCGCTGACTGACTGACTGGCTGACTGACTGACTGACTGACTGACTGGCTGACTGACTGACTGACTGACTCACTGACTGACTGACTGGCTGACTGACTGACTGACTGACTCACTGACTGACTGACTGACTGACTGGCTGACTGACTGACTGGCTGACTGACTGACTGACTCACTGACTGACTGACTGGCTGACTGACTGACTGACTCACTGACTGACTGGCTGACTGACTGACTGGCTGACTGACTGACTGGCTGACTGACTGACTGACTGACTCGCTGACTGACTGACTGGCTGACTGACTGACTGACTCACTGACTGACTGACTGACTGACTGACTGACTGACTGGCTGACTGACTGACTCACTGACTCACTGACGCACTGACTGACTGGCTGACCGACTGACTGACTGACTGGCTGACTGACTGACTGACTGACTGACTGGCTGACTGACTCACTGGCTGCCTGACTGACTGACTGCCTCACTGACTCACTGACTGACTGACTGACTGACTGACTGGCTGGCTGACTGACTGACTGACTGACTCACTGACTGACTCACTGACTGACTGACTGGCTGGCTGACTGACTGACTGACTCACTGACTCACTGACTGACTGACTGACTGACTGGCTGACTGACTGGCTTTCCTGGACTGGACTGCACTGAACTCCACCCTCTCAACTGCCAATGGCCAAAAAACGACAGAGCATAGCTGAGGAATCTAGTTCGGATACGTCCAGCCTCCGGATAATCATCAAGACCCAGTTCATTCCAAGGAAGTGGCTCCTTGAAGGGGCCAGCCTGATCAAGTATGCAACTTCGCATGCCAAGCATTGAGCTGCGGTGCCTTCGGAAGACGCGCAAGTCTTCTCACCACTCGCAGCAGCTGACGCTGGCACCACCAGTCAAGAATCCTTGGCGACATTTCAGCGTGGCCAAGTTGCCAACTGGGCGGCGTGTTTCTTCTTGGAATCAAGGATTTATACAAAAAGGGAACTGCATCATGTCCGCGTAGGCAATTTAGCTGGGGGGCGTAGGCGCGCGGAGGCATCGCGTAGGCATTTCGCGCACATCCTTGTATGTTCTCTTGCGTAGGCGCGCGCGTAGGCACTTGATGGAGTTGTTATGTATTGTCTGAAGCTTTATGTTTTACAATGCATATGAATGGGCATGGGTTTGGCTGAGTTGTTGCAGACACACCGAGAAAAGGGTTCTTGAACCAACATGGCTAAGAATTGTCAAAGCGGTTGGCGGACATTGTCCACTGTTCAAATGAGCAGCGTTGTTTAATCAAATGAAAGAGTTTATACAAAAAGGGAACTGCATGTACTTTGCGGAGGCAATCCTGGTTGGGGGCGTAGGCTCGCGTAGACTTCAGCGCGTAGGCTGTGTCACCCCTCGCGTAGGCTTTTCGCGTCGTTTGTTGAACAAATCATGACTCAGTGCTGTTTGCCATGTGTGAAGGAATTTGCTTCTTTTGCCTTCCTTCTGTTTGTTCTGCAGTCTTCGCGTAGGCTCCGCGAAGGCCCCGCGTAGGCATTCGCGTAGGCTTTCAAGGCATTGGTGCGTAGACCTTTTCTAGCCAGATCCTTGGACAGATGTTGAATTCTCACTTGTACTGCATTTCTGATCTTAGAGCCGGAGCTGCCAAAACTGCACTTGCACTGAAAAGTTGCGATTTTCCACCTGGAGCTGCCACAGTGCACTTCGACACTTGAACTCAACGTTTGCCCGCGTAGGTAGGCACCTGGAAGCTGACTTGTGATCGCGTAGGCACCCTCGCAGGCCGCGTAGGCTTGCGTAGGCCTTCGCGTAGGCGCGCAAGTGGTGTACAGGCCCGAACCACGAAAAAAACACTGCTCAAATGCTGATTCAGAGCCACGACAAAGGGGATCCCTGGGAAATCAAACATGTTATCACGCTTTGGCGGTGCAATCATCTTCCACATCATCTGCTTCTTCTACATCATCTGCATCTGTGTCAGACAATGATTGACTTGGCATTGCAAAGCTCGAGCTGGAAGAAAGCGGCGCGCGATTTTTTGGCGTAGGCGTCCGCGTAGGCGCGACAAGAGACAAACGTGCGCGCGTAGGCACCCCTTGCAGTCGCGGAGGCGTTGCGTAGGCGCTCGCGTAGGCATGTGTGCAGTGTATAGGCCCCGAGCATCAACCAAAAAACACTGCCCAACTGAGTCTTGATCAGCCGAATGGGCTCCGAGCTTGTCTTGACTCTCACGGTCGCCATCTTGCAATTCAGAACGCGCCTGCCAACATTGCACTGTGGCACTGCCCAAAACAGTTTGACTCAAGTGTGCGGCCTCAATTTCATCCTCATCCATGAAGGAGCTCTCCTTGTGCAAACAGCGTTAGATTTCACCATGCAATGCTCACGCTCTCCGCCTCGCTCTCCTCCATGTCCAAGCCGGTCCCCTGCGTTCGAAGGTGGCCACAAATCCATCAGCGAGCGCAAAACCGTGCGCTGGCAGAGCCCTCGGTGGAATCCCAGGTGTCGCTGGAGCCCTCAAAGGTGGAATCCCAGGTGTCCACTAAGTCGGGCCACCCGATTCAGCGGCTTTTTGAAGGCCTTGGGCGCCTTGGGCCACAAACGGGGGGATGGGGAGCCCTTCTCAATTCCTGAGCGGCTTGGCAAAACTATTCTGGACTTGTTGGCTACTTGCCACTAAACTGTCCTCCACAACGAAACTCCGGGAACTCAGAGGCCAGGGGTGGTGCATTTGGGGGACACTTGCCCCCACGTAGGTTGGCAAGACTGCCGTTCTCTATTTGCAAGGTTGCAATGGGAGGCCCTTGCGGCATCACAGATCGAGTGCGGATGGTGGCTCCGGTATCCTCCTTCTGAAAGACAAATTTAATATGGAAACTTGTCGGTCTTCTTTGAAGAGGTGTTGCGCTGACATTGCGCAAGGTGGACTTACACCCCACGACACGTGTCCTTTTGTCATTGCAAACCCAGCTCCGTGCAGTGCACCAGGCAGCTACTTCTGTCTTGGGAAGCCAGCACCCACGTGCCTTGCCTTTCGCTGGCACGAAAAGACGAATGGAAAACTTGCTCCGTGCGCGCCAAGCCTGCCCTTGGCTAGAAAGGAACGCCATAGAGGCCCCCCTTCTTTTACAGTAGTTTGGAAAACACTGTAAGTTCAGACATGTGATGCAAATCCTCCAGAATCTATGATGTGCTCGGATTTGCTAGTTGGATTTGTTCTTGTCTCTCCTTGTCAAATTAGCAATGAGTTTGAATTGCGCCGAGTGTGGAGGTTTGACTTGGATCGAGTGTGGCGGGGTCCTTTAGTTATTATTTCCCCTACTAGTCCCTGACCCCTATTTGCAAAGTTCCATGATGCCTTGTGCGCCTAAACAATTTCCTTGAAGCTGCATGTGATTCTGTTGACAATACTTTAGTTTAATGGATCACTATGTTCATAAATTGAGCCATGCATCTAAATAGCTTTTTTGCGTATTAGCTAGTGGTTTCTGCTTGAGTGTTTGCATGAATGGCGCCATAGTGACAAGCCTCTTGTGTTAGTGATGATGCAGGAGTAGAAGGGGGCTGCAGCTCTAGAAACGGATACTTGCTATTTTGTTTGTCGGCCCATTTGCAAGTAGTATTCATGGAGTAGCATGTGGATTGGTACAATTTGATCAGCTCTGTCGCGCGATCCACATGCAAAACTCCAAGTTGTCACATGAAGTTGGTGGTTGAGCTTTCTTTGTAGCAGTTGAAGCCGTTGAACTGAATGAGTCACTGCACGCGTTGGGTACTAGCTGATTTGCTGCTTGGACACTTATTTGCATGAGCAGGGCCATCGTGACAAGCATCTTCTACTAGTCATGATGTGGTAGTTAGTGAAATTGAAGCACATTTGTTCCATAGCACTCTGCAGCTTAAATTCTTTGGCTAGCACCAGACATCAATACCTCGTTTGCTCAGAAAGACTTCCTCGAGTGATTTAGTGGTTCGACGTTCTTTAAAGCAGTCAAGGCTGTTTGAACTTTATCACACGCTAATAAGTTGAGCAGTAGTTTGCTGCCTGAGCGTTTGCATGAGAAGCCCCATGGTGACAAACATCTTGTGCCAGCGGCAAGCATTTTTCATGGAGTATGGGATGCTGTGGAAGCCCGCGTCTTTCAGTGAAATATCTTTCTTTCTAGCACAAGATAATGCTGTTCATGTAGTGCAGAACATTCCTGTGTTCCAGCGTTTCCTCGCTTTTCAATGAATTGCATGTCACTAGTTCGCGTTGGAGCTAGAGGGCCCGTCCTTGATGATGTAGACATTTTGCCCACTGGCAGGTGGTCTGCTCACCTCTCACATCTCTGATTTAGTGGCAACTTGACTAGGGATCTGTAGTCAATTCTGCATGATCCCCTCATTTCAAGTCCCATGAGCTACCAGCAATCCATGGCCGAGGGAGAGGTGCAAGCCCCAAGCTCAGCTACCATGGTCGCCACAAGCACGGGCCTCCACCAGCCCCGTGTGAGCTATAGGCATGCAAAGTGGAAACGCGAGTTGCTGGTTCCAGCAAGCCAGGATCTGACCAAGCAAGCCGTTTCTTGGTGCTATTTTGTTGCATTGTGCCCAAAGGAAACAAGCCACTCACAAACATGGACCAGGTGATCACCAAAGGAATTCTTATCACTTGTAGCTGGGCTGCCTCATGACCTCCTATAAAATAATTCTTATTGACTGAGCCATGGAGGGTGCAAGAGAAATATAATTTTTATCCCCCCCCCCCCATATCAGCTTTTGTGCGACACTCGCTTGCGTGGGAGCTGTCATGCTTTTCATATTATTGGTTGCGCTGCATCGCGGTGAGATGAGGCAATTACAAAAACAGTCGTGATGATCCGGCAAGAGCTGTTGGCAACTAGAGGTAGCGACCTATTTTTGGTTGAGTCATTTGAGCTGCGACGGTAGGAACTGCGGGCCCCACACCCACCATCAAGATGCGTCAAGTGGAATCCCACCGTCCGTGAACTTGGATGGTAGGAGGGCCTCTCACCCCAAATTTGGACAGGCAAGAAGCACGCAATCCATTTGACAACCCATGGCACTGGTATCTGTAATGAATGCACTTCCAAGTAATGCCACTTTTGGAAGCGTTGCCACAGGGCTTACATGTTGGCAAGACAATAGTAATTAGGTTCCCCTTGATTGTTCTAAGATTGTTTGGGATGACAAGCTTTGACACTTCTGAAGACCTTACACTGGTCAAACTAAGTGCAAATGCAACACAATGGATGCACATGGCTCGTTTCGGCAGGTGAAAAGATGCAAAAACCACTGAAACACCGCAGTATAACCCGGGTCCACAGGGCGTCCCGCTCTCTTGCTTTAAATCTTGTTTTCGTGACAACTTTGACGCTGACTGGTGGGCAAACAAGCGCCTCGTTGCCGCACCACAGCTCTCCCTCATCATCATCCTGACAATAACGGCTTGCATAGCGGAAGGTTATTTCTTTGTGCGCGGATTATTGTACACACAAAAGTGTCTGTGCATCATTGCAGATGCGAAAACTGTGTCCTCGTTGTTTCTGGGAGTGGAGTCATGAGCCTACGAGTAGGCGAAGTGCATGCCACAGGTAGCTGGCTCACGGAGCCTCATCGCTCTCGACAGCTAAGAGCTCATCCTGAAGTGACTTTCGCCTGACAGTCAACAGGGTTCCTGTCAAAAGGAGATCCCCTGAGTCAGCCAGTAAACGTGAACTTCAAATTTGTATTTGTATTTTTGAGGCATCCTGAAAGACGGCTCCAACAGCATGAGTGTCTGCGGTTGCATCGACTAGCACTCAGAACTTCTGCACTCATTGGTGGCAGCTTTACCCTCAGCCTGTCAAGCTTGTCTCTGATGGACGGCCGCCTTGCAAACGTCGGCTGGGTATTTCTGCGTCCGGCGTCTTCCGGCTCACCCATACAACATACACGATAAGCCAAGCTTTCTCTCGGCAGGTGTGGCTCTTCAACAGAACGCATCAGACTCCCTCTCACGTTGGATTCTGGACTGATGTCCACCTTTGCTGCACTCACGATCGTGTTTCTCAGTCTGCCTGTTTATCTCTCGCTCTCTCTCTCTCTCTCTCTCTCAGAGCACACAAATGGCCTTGGGGGCTGCATCCGCTTCGCAATTCATTGCCAACACAGGCCAAGGCGCTGATGTGTCTCCAGTTGCGGTATGTGTGCATCGTGCTGCTTGCAGTGAAAAAAATGCTACTGACTCAGTGAGTTGCGCTCAAAACATGAAGGGAGGCTTTCTTGCTACATCTTGCTGTCCTCATGGACTTTGACCGACAACAAGTACGCTGAAGCCTTGCGAACAACGTGAAGCAGTTCCCGCTCTGCTCAAGTATGTTGCGCTAGCTTCGTCGAAACGGACAGGTGTGCTGTGAAGAACGGGCCCAGCATGTCATAATTTCTTGCCGGCTGCGCATACTGGCTCTCTTTTCACAAGCATTCACAGTGGTCACCTGTTCTCAATCCATCTCGGCGAGGTTGAAGACAAGCCTGATGCTGCTGCAAGCAATGCTCGCTATGGTGTTTTGCCGGAGACATGCAAACCGAACCTGTCATTTTGTGGCTGTGGGTCAAAAATAGGGTAACCGGCCCAAAACGGCTTGCCAAGGCAAATGAGCGCGGGTTTTTATTCCCTACAAACTTGATTGGACATTATTCAAGCTTCCGAGGACCCTTCCGCATCCTTGCCGCGGGCCAAGAGGTCCCTTCCGCGAACTTCCGCGGCACATGTGTTTCATTGCTTGCCTCCGCAAACCTTCCGCGGCGCATGTTTTACAAGATTTGCTTCCGCGAGAATTGGCGCAGAGAGAGAAAGTCATTTTAAGTAGGGAAGGAAAGTAGTGTTTTGCCGCAGCCTGTGTGCCCCATTGAGCTACCCGTGCTACGTGGGCACTTGCCAGCAAACATGGTTCTAAAACATGGTTCTAAAACCTGCGGTCCAATTCCTGTTGGTTTTATTTTGAGCCACACCCATTTTGTCGTCTTTGGGTCAAGCAGCTTTGCCGGGTCTGAGCAGCTTGCGCAGCTTGCGCAGGCGCACTCGAAGCCCATTCTGGCCCGCAGAACTCGGCGCCGTTCACTTGCGCAGCCTGAGCAAGGACGCCAACAGCTTGAGGTTCAGACTTGCTGCAAAATCGGTAGGGAATGAGAACTTTGAATGAACCCAGGCTTTCCCCTTAAAGGAAACCAGTTGGATGGTTTTTTCTTGGGGTCATTCCATGTCGCATTCCCTGCTGAGCACCAGCAAGTAGATACCCGTAGTTTGAAAAAGCTAGCGCCATGCTTAGGTTGCACAACGAGCCTGTGCCAGGAGACAGGGGGATTTTATGCTCCGTGTCTTGACAGAAAAATAATCGGATTACAGCGTTGAAGAATCCCAAATCAAAACACAAAACTGTGGCGGGCACATATTCGACTGCTACATGTCAATGTGTGTCTCTGCCAGGCTTCGTTGCAGTAGCTCCGGCTCAAGATAGCTCGTTGTGACCGCCTCTCCACGCTTGATAGCCTCTGTGGCTCGCCACTCGCCAATCCACATCTGCGTCTCGGATCCTTTGCCCAGCAACTTGGATGCCTCTTTCGCATCGCAGGACTGTATGCAAAATTTGGTATTTGGCGAGCAGGAGTGCTCGATGATTGCGCCCATGTAAAAGACTGCTTCCGATCCATCTGGCATTGTGTCAGCCGCATTGATGATCATGAGGCCCAACACAGAACGAATATCTCGCTTTGAAAGAGCTGCTTGAGTTTGAAGTGAGCCTGAAAACAAACCTGAGCTGTGCAAAAGCGTGGACAGGCGCTCAACCATCTGTGCCATGCTGCTGTCCGGCACTGCAAAGTCTGTCTGCAAGCTCAGCACAGCTTCTTTGACATCCGCTGCAGCTTCTGCAAAAGTGTACAACACTGGGATCCAGCGCTTTGCCAGGCACACCACAATTTGGTCTTCAGGACTCTGCTTGGGCAATCTGGCGCAGAAAGCCTCCGTGCACTGGCGGGCCGCAAGCTTTTGGGCTGCCGGTGTGCTCAGCAAAGGCAGTTCGGTGAGCAGCGTCTCTCCAGGCTCCACATTCTCTACGGCTCGTAGGCAAACACCTTTCGATTCCACGTCGTGACAAATCTCCACTTTGCTGCGCCCCACCGTGCATCGCCGCATCTCTTAGGCAGCGCCACAGCCAAGCCATGGCTAAACCTGTTGTACAATCCTAGTTGTATAGTGCAACCTCGTTGGCTAGCAACGCTCCCAACTAAGAGACGATATTGGCTGTGGGAATTGTGCGTGGGTGTGACTTCGATGATTGATGGATGCCAGGTGCAAGAAACAAAGGCTGTGGGCGATTCAAAGTTGCTGCACTTGCTAGCACACTCGTGGTCACTCCTTACAGTGTCGCTTCATGTCATGCCGCCAACATTCTCTTCTTTCCAAGCTGCTATAGCCAGCATGTTGCTAGCTTAGTCGAGCCTTTGGTACAGAACCAGCAGGCCTGCTCCTTGCTTTACCCCAAAGCTGAAAACATCATGGACGGCAGCTGGTTTTGGACCTCGCCCTTGGTGTTCAAGAGCTGCCGATACGGCTGGCCCGCTGCTTTGCAACTGAGCTCGGCCTGATTCCTTCCAAGCACTTTTTCACATTTATTGATTTATGCATTTCTTACGGGCTCAGCTCTCCTGAGCTCATCTCCTCAAACTCATCTTCGTAGTCATCTTCGTAGCCCTGAGACAAAGATAGTGACTGCTCCTCGTGAGTCTGCGGATTGCATGAAGCAAAATGCATGGAATGGCTGGTGGATGCCGAGCCAATGCCAAAATGTTCTCAAGCTAATGCTCCTGCGGATCAGCTTGCTTCTGCGCCTGGAATTCGCGCTTTCGCCAAGATCAAATGATTTTGGTACTCATAGTGTTTTGTTTCTCACGTGTATCGAAGCGCGTGACACATCTTTTCCGCACCTTAAATGTTGCACGGCTCAATTATGGCAGGAAACCAGTCCACGACTTGATGCTGCAAAGAACTCGGGAGGAGTCTTCAAACACAAAGACGAAGCCACCCTGAGGACATATCCACCTCTACTGTCCAAAAGTACACAGCATGCATTATATCAAAGCAACGTTCTGCAGCTTGTGCCCGTCAACCAAGCCTACATTGCGAAGTATCAAAAGCAGAGAATTACTTCCCGGCAAACCAAGCAAACTGCACCCATTGGTGAATGCCACGCCGACAACAACCGCTTCGGAACTAAAATCATCACCTAGAAGCCCGCCCTGCCTCCTCTTCTAGCTTGTCACGGCTAGCGTTCGCTGTGGTCTCCTCAACAAGTGATGTGAGACAGCCCCAGCCAAGCATCGGCACATCCATGCCACAATGTCGCGCCACAGTCATGCAGCTGTCCTGGACTGGCTCTTGGACAGCCTCGGTCGGAGCCTCCTGCACAGAAGGTGCCGTTGGTGCCTCCGTCGCAGTTGGCGCCTCATCGACAGCAGTGAACAATGCTGGAAAGCGACACACCGTGGAAAGACAGGGGGCTGCACCATGGCAAACATAGCTCCAGCCTGTGTCTTGGCCTTCTTCTCGCTGACGCCCGACACTGTCTCCTGAGGCTCAAAGACGGCACACCAGCAATGGTCAGCACTGCTAAGAAAACGCCAGTATGGTTTGACTTCGGCCAATGAAAACCTTTGACAACAAACCAAAGCCGACAAGCTATTTTGGCCTCATTCATTGATTTGCATTTCTTACGGGGTTAGCTTAGTAGTCTACAAATTGCAGGAAGTAAATTAAATGGAGTGGCTCATGGACAATAACTCGTGAGGAAAACCCGTCGAGCCAATGCCAAAATGCTCTCAAGCTAGTGCTCCTGCGGATCATCTTGCTTCTGCACCTGGAACTCGCGCTCTTGATTTGTGGTGGTCTTCATAGTGTTTTGTTCTCGCGTGAATCGCAGCGCGTGACGCATCTTTTCCGCAGACTAAATGTTGAACGGCACACTCGTGGCAACAAATCAGTCGGTGTCTCGGGAGAAATGTTCGAACACAAGGCGCAAGTAGGGCTTAGCAGGCTAACAAATCTTGACTGCCTTGACACACCTATGCGGACAAATCCTCTGTTGTCCAACAGTACACAGCATGCATTATATCAAAGCAACATTCTGCAACATGCGCCCATCATGCGCCCCTCTACCAAGCCTACATTGCGAAGTATCAAAAGCAAAGAATTACTTCCCGGCAAACCAAGCAAACTGCACGGATTGGTGAATGCCACGCCGACAACAACCGCTTCGGAACTAAAATCATCACCTAGAAGCCTGCCCTGCCTCCTCTTCTAGCTTGTCACGGCTAGCTTTGGCTGTGGTCTCCTCAACAAGTGATGTGAGACAGCCCCAGCCAAGCATCGGCACATCCATGCCACAATGTCGCGCCACAGTCATGCAGCTGTCCTGGACTGGCTCTTGGACAGCCTCGGTCGGAGCCTCCTGCGCAGAAGGTGCCGTTGGTGCCTCCGTCGCAGTTGGCGCCTCATCGACAGCAGTGAACAATACTGGAAAGCGACACACCGTGGAAAGACAGGGGGCTGCAACATGGCAAACATAGCTCCAGCCTGTGTCTTGGCCATCTTCTCGCTGACGCCCGACACTGTCTCCTGAGGCTCAAAGACGGCACACCAGCAATGGTCAGCACTGCTAAGGAAACGCCAGTATGGTTTGACTTCGGCCAATGATAGCCTTTAACAACAAACAAAAGCCAACAAGCTATTTGGCCTCATTCAATTGATTTGCATTTCTTACGGGGTCAGCTTACTAGTCTACAAATTGCAGAAAGTAAGATAAATGGAGTGGCTCATGGACAATAACTCGTGAGGAAAACCCGTCGAGCCAATGCCAAAATGCTCTCAAGCTAGTGCTCCTGCGGATCATCTTGCTTCTGCACCTGGAACTCGCGCTCTTGATTTATGGTGGTCCTCATAGTGTTTTGTTCTCACGTGTATCGCAGCGCGTGACGCATCTTTTCCGCAGACTAAATGTTGAACGGCACACTCGTGGCAACAAATCAGTCGGTGTCTCGGGAGAAATGTTCGAACACAAGGCGCAAGTAGGGCTTAGCAGGCTAACAAATCTTGACTGCCTTGACACACCTATGCGGACAAATCCTCTGTTGTCCAAAAGTACACAGCATGCATTATATCAAAGCAACATTCTGCAACATGCGCCCATCATGCGCCCCTCTACCAAGCCTACATTGCGAAGTATCAAAAGCAAAGAATTACTTCCCGGCAAACCAAGCAAACTGCACGGATTGGTGAATGCCACGCCGACAACAACCGCTTCGGAACTAAAATCATCACCTAGAAGCCTGCCCTGCCTCCTCTTCTAGCTTGTCACGGCTAGCTTTGGCTGTGGTCTCCTCAACAAGTGATGTGAGACAGCCCCAGCCAAGCATCGGCACATCCATGCCACAATGTCGCGCCACAGTCATGCAGCTGTCCTGGACTGGCTCTTGGACAGCCTCGGTCGGAGCCTCCTGCGCAGAAGGTGCCGTTGGTGCCTCCGTCGCAGTTGGCGCCTCATCGACAGCAGTGAACAATACTGGAAAGCGACACACCGTGGAAAGACAGGGGGCTGCAACATGGCAAACATAGCTCCAGCCTTCTGCGTGGCCTTCTTCTCGCTGACGCCAGACACTGTCTCCTGAGGCTCAAAGACGACACACCGCTAAAAGGCCAGTAACTGATCTGACTTCGGCTGAGACTATGCCCAGGCTACTGCGAGATGCTGCAGATGAACAGCCAATCATTGTCCATCACAACCAAACCAATGGCAGTGGCAGTGGCAATCACCATTGCCAACCACTCCCACTCCCTGCCCTGGCTTGCTTGGGAAGTCCTCAACTGACATCTCCTCGAAGTCGTACACTGCTTCATCCTGCAAGGCTACAGCTTCCATCATGATGCCGCACCCTCCTGCGGCATCTGTGCCGCCCCCAAAATCATTATGCGCCAAACTGGAATATCTCCACGGCATTCATCTTGAAAAGGCGCCCAAACGACTGCGTTCGCTCCCCCCCAAGGGCCGCCAAATAAAGTCGCCTTTGTTCCTAGAGGCGCTTCGCCCTCTTCCACTCCGACAGATATCCCTGACACGAACCAGTTTTTGTGGCGGCTCACATAATCTCCCAGCAAACCAAGCAACCTGCGCCCCCATTGGTGAATGCCTTCGCAAGTAAAATCATGGCCTAGAAGCCTGCCCTGCCTCCTCTTCTACCTTGTCACCGCTAGCTTTTGCTGTGGTCTCCTCAACAAGTGATGTGACGCAGCCTCACAAAGCCGCAAGCTCAGTTGATTGAATCCTCATGTACGCATCTTCACCCATTTGGCATGCCATGTCGTGCCACAGTCATGCTGCTGTCCTGGACTGGCTCTTTCACAGCCTCGGTCGGAGCCTTCTGCACGGAAGGTGCCGTTGGTGCAGCCGTTGCAGTCGGCGCCTCCTGGACAGCAGTGAACATCACCGGAAAGCGACGCTGTGGAAAAAACAGAGCCCCAGCGCAGCGACATGTCCTGCGAGGAGATGTTCTCTTGGGCTGCACAGCGGACAGCCCGCTCTCATAGCTTAAAGAATCTAAAGGTCAAAGCGATTTGGACTGCTCCGCCTTGCCCCATCGAGAGGATTGCATTCAGCCCCTCCTCGCCCAGGCCCAAAGTCACCCTACCCTAAGCTCCAGCCTTGGCCCTAGCCCAAAGGCCCAGCCTAAGCCACCCGATCAGACTCAGCCTGAGCCGGTGCCCGGTTCAGCTCGCTGCCGCCTCGTTGCCCAGCCCTCGAGTGAACCAAGCTTCTGGTAATCACTTTGCGCAACCCACCAGACTCAGCCCAGCGGCATCATTTGCTCAAGCCCAGAAACTGCTCTCATGGTTCTTTTGAGGACCGAGGGGCGCGCAGCGTTCAAAATGATTGCCCATCGCAACCAGAATAGTGGCAGTGACAATGACTATTGCCACTAACTCCCACTGTCTGCAATGGCTCACTTGGGAACTCCTGAAACTGCCATGCTGCGGCATCCTTCATGTTGCAGCACCTTTTTGCAGCATGCGCAATTTTGCACATGCTACAATATAAAGCATCAAAAGAGCAGAAACGACTTCCCAGCAAACTCTGACAATTGATAGCTGCCAACTTGATTAAATGTTTCGGACCCTGCCTCCGCTTCTTGCTTGCCAACGCTAGATGTTGCTGTAGTCTCCTCAGCAAGTTGCGCGAAGCAGCCCCGTCCAAGCATTCAGCCATGCATTCCACACAAGCCGCAAATTCAGCTGATTGAATGCTCAGGGCGCTAATCAGCAGGAGGCGTGTACGCATCTTCACGCATTCGGCGTGCCATGTCGTGCCACAGTCATGCAGCTGTCCTGGACTGGCTCTTTCACAGCCTCGGTCGGAGCCTCCTGCGCAGAAGGTGCCGTTGGTGCAGCCGTCGCAGTTGGCGCCTCATCGACAGCAGTGAACATTCCTGGAAAGCGACGCTCCGTGGAACCACAGGGGGCTGCAACATGGCAAACATAGCTCCAGCCTTCTGCGTGGCCTTCTTCTTGCTGACGCCAGACACTGTCTCCTGAGGCTCAAAGACGGCACACCGCTAAAAGGCCAGTAACTGATCTGACTTCGGCTGAGACTATGCCCAGGCTACTGCGAGATGCTGCAGATGAACAGCCAATCATTGTCCATCACAACCAAACCAATGGCAGTGGCAATCACCATTGCCAACAACTCCCACTCCCTGCCCTGGCTTGCTTGGGAAGTCCTCAACTGACATCTCCTCGAAGTCGTACACTGCTTCATCCTGCAAGGCTACAGCTTCCATCATGATGCCGCACCCTCCTGCGGCATCTGTGCCGCCCCCAAAATCATGATGCGCCAAATTGGAATATCTCCACGGCATTCATCTTGAAAAGGCGCCCAAACGACTGCGTTCGCTCCACCCCCAAGGGCCGCCAAATACAGTCGCCTTTGTTCCTAGAGGCGTTTCGCCCTCTTCCACTCCGACAAATATTCCTGACACGAACCAGTTTTTGTGGCGGCTCACATAATCTCCCAGCAAACCAAGCAACCTGCGCCCCCATTGGTGAATGCCTTCGCAACTAAAATCATGGCCTAGAAGCCTCCCCTGCCTCCTCTTCTACCTTGTCACCGCTAGCTTTTGCTGTGGTCTCCTCAACAAGTGATGTGACGCAGCCTCACAAAGCCGCAAGCTCAGTTGATTGAATCCTCATGTACGCATCTTCACCCATTTGGCATGCCATGTCGTGGCACAGTCATGCTGCTGTCCTGGGCTGGCTCTTTCACAGCCTCGGTCGGAGCCTCCTGCGCAGAAGGTGCCGTTGGTGCCGCCGTCGCAGTTGGCGCCTCATCGACAGCAGTGAACATTCCTGGAAAGCGACGCTCCGTGGAACCACAGGCGGCTGCAACATGGCAAACATAGCTCCAGCCTTCTGCGTGGCCTTCTTCTCGCTGGCGCCAGACACTGTGTCCTGAGGCTCAAAAACGGCACACCAGCAATGGTCAGCACTGCTAAAAGGCCAGTCACTGATCTGACTTCGGCTGAGACTATGCCCAGGCTACTGCAAGATGCTGCAGATGAACAGCCAATCATTGTCCATCACAACCAAACCAATGGCAGTGGCAGTGGCAATCACCATCGCCAACAACTCCCACTCCCTGCCATGGCTTGCTTGGGAAGTCCTCAACTGACATCTCCTCGAAGTCGTACACTGCTTCATCCTGCAAGGCTAAAGCTTCCATCATGATGCCGCACCATCCTGCGGCATCTGTGCCGCCCCCAAAATCATGATGCGCCAAATTGGAAGATCTCCACGGCATTCATCTTGAAAAGGCGCCCAAACGACTGCGTTCGCTCCCCCCCAAGGGCAGCCAAATAAAGTCGACTTTGTTCCTAGAGGCGTTTCGCCCTCTTCCACTCCGACAAATATTCCTGACACGAACCAGTTTTTGTGGCGGCTCACATAATCTCCCAGCAAACCAAGCAACCTGCGCCCCCATTGGTGAATGCCTTCGCAACTAAAATCATGGCCTAGAAGCCTGCCCTGCCTCCTCTTCTACCTTGTCACCGCTAGCTTTTGCTGTGGTCTCCTCAACAAGTGATGTGACGCAGCCTCACAAAGCCGCAAGCTCAGTTGATTGAATCCTCATGTACGCATCTTCACCCATTTGGCATGCCATGTCGTGGCACAGTCATGCAGCTGTCCTGGACTGGCTCTTTCACAGCCTCGGGAGCCTCCTGTGCAGAAGGTGCCGTTGGTGCAGCCGTCGCAGTTGGCGCCTCATCGACAGCAGTGAACATTCCTGGAATGCGACGCTCCGTGGAACCACAGGGGGCTGCAACATGGCAAACATAGCTCCAGCCTTCTGCGTGGCCTTCTTCTCGCTGACGCCAGACACTGTCTCCTGAGGCTCAAAAACGGCACACCAGCAATGGTCAGCACTGCTAAAAGGCCAGGCATTGATCTGACTTCGGCTGAGACTATGCCCAGGCTACTGCGAGATGCTGCAGATGAACAGCCAATAATTGTCCATCACAACCAAACCAATGGCAGTGGCAATCACCATCGCCAACAACTCCCACTCCCTGCCATGGCTTGCTTGGGAAGTCCTCAACTGACATCTCCTCGAAGTCGTACACTGCTTCATCCTGCAAGGCTACAGCTTCCATCATGATGCCGCACCCTCCTGCGGCATCTGTGCCGCCCCCAAAATCATTATGCGCCAAACTGGAATATCTCCACGGCATTCATCTTGAAAAGGCGCCCAAACGACTGCGTTCGCTCCCCCCCAAGGGCCGCCAAATAAAGTCGCCTTTGTTCCTAGGGGCGTTTCGCCCTCTTCCACTCCGACAAATATTCCTGACACGAACCTGTTTTTGTGGCGGCTCACATAATCTCCCAGCAAACCAAGCAACCTGCCCCCATTGGATAATGCCTTCGCAACTAAAATCATGGCCTAGAAGCCTGCCCTGCCTCCTCTTCTACCTTGTCACCGCTAGCTTTTGCTGTGGTCTCCTCAACAAGTGATGTGACGCAGCCTCACAAAGCCGCAAGCTCAGTTGATTGAATCCTCATGTACGCATCTTCACCCATTTGGCATGCCATGTCGTGCCACAGTCATGCAGCTGTCCTGGACTGGCTCTTTCACAGCCTCGGTCGGAGCCTCCTGCGCAGAAGGTGCCGTTGGTGCAGCCGTCGCAGTTGGCGCCTCATCGACAGCAGTGAACATTCGTGGAAAGCGACGCACCGTGGAACCACAGGGGGCTGCAACATGGCAAGCATAGCTCCAGCCTTCTGCGTGGCCTCCTTCTCGCTGACGCCAGACACTGTCTCCTGAGGCTCAAAGACGACATGCCGGCAATGGTCAGCACTGGCCAGCACTGGCCAGCACTGGCCAGCACTGGTCATCAAAGGCTAGTATGTATGGTTTGACTTCCGCATCTTCGGCCGGCCAATGATAGCCTTGACTGTGAGCCAGAGCCGACCCGCTGCTGTTTCGGCCTAATTTCTTCAACGCACTTCGTCCGCAATTGATTTGCACTTCTTACGTGCTCAGCTCACCCGAGGCTTTCTCCTCGAACTCGTCTTCATAGTCATCTTCGTAGCCCTGAGACAAGGAGAGCGACTGCTCCTCCGGAGTCCACTGATTAAACATGACGAGCCAATGCCAAAATGCTCTCAAGCTAATGCTCCTGCGGATCAGCTTGCTTCTGCACCTGGAATTCGCACTCTGGATTTATGTTGGTTCTGATAGTGTCTTTTTGCTCACGTGTATCGAAACGCGTGACACATCTTTTCCACACGTTAAATGTTGCACGGCACAATCGTGGCAACGCAGCATGTGCCCCTCTACAAAGCCTGCATTTCGAAATACCAAAAGCAGAGAATTACTTACGGGAAAATCAAGCAAACTGACCCATTGGTGAATGCCACACGGACAACAACCGCTTCGCAACTAAAGTCATGGCCTAGCAGCCTGCCCCGCCTCCTCTTCCAGCTTGTCACCGCTAGCTTTCGCTGTGGTCTCCTCAACAAGTGATGTGAGGCAGCCCCAGGCACCAGCCAAGCATCGGCACATCCATGCAAAGACAGTCAGCTCAGTTGATTGAATCCTCATGTACGCATCTTCACGCATTCGCCGTGCCATGTCGCGCCACTGTCATGCAGCTGTCCTGGATTGGCTCTTTCACAGCCTCGGTCGGAGCCTCCTGCGCAGAAGTTGCCGTTGGTGCAGCCGCCGCAGCTGGCGCCTCATGCATAGCAGTGAACATCACTGGAAAGCGACGCTCCGTGGAACCACAGGGGGCTGCAACATGGCAAACATAGCTCCAGCCTTCTGCGTGGCCTTCTTCTCGCTGACGCCAGACACTGTCTCCTGAGGCTCAAAGACGACACACCAGCAATGGTCAGCACTGCTAAAAGGCCAGTAACTGATCTGACTTCGGCTGAGACTATGCCCAGGCTACTGTGAGATGCTGCAGATGAACAGCCAATCATTGTCTATCACAACCAAACCAATGGCAGTGGCAATCACCATCGCCAACAACTCCCACTCCCTGCCATGGCTTGCTTGGGAAGTCCTCAACTGACATCTCCTCGAAGTCGTACACTGCTTCATCCTGCAAGGCTACAGCTTCCGCCATGATGCCTCACCATTCTGCGGCATGCGCCCTCCTACCAACCCTACATACATTACGACTTCTCAAAAGAAGAGAAATGAGCCGCTGCCAAAATTATTGTGCGCCAAACTGGAATATCTCCACGGCCTTCGTCTCAAAAAGTCGCCCTCGTTTTACAGGATTTTGGCCATGTTCTCAACAAGAATGGCGGCACGGTCTTTGCAAGCCTTGTAGATCTGCTTCTCACTAGCAAGATGATTTTCAGCTGGCGTCTTGACTTTGCTTGAACTTCATTTGCCCTCATCTCAAAACCTTCTCGCCCCCCTGCAGACGCTGCCAACTGCACAACGAGGATTCTTTATTTTCGCCCTATGCCACTCCAACAAGTATTCCTTCCACAAACCTCTTTAGGGGTAGCTCAAATGGCCTCTCAGCAAAGCAAGCAAACCCCATTGGCGAATGCCACAGCAACAACAACTGCTTCGCAACTAAAATAATTGTCTAAATGCCTGCCACCCCTGCCTTCTCTTCTAGCTTGTCACCGCTAGCTTTCGCCGTGGTCTCCTCAACAAGTGATGCGAGACAGCCCCAGCCAAGCATTGGCCCATCCATGCCACAAAGTTGAATGCTCATGGCGCCACTCAACGGGGGGGGGTGTTACACATCTGCCTCGCATTCGGCGTGCCATGTCGCGTCAGAGTCATGCAGCTGGACGGCTTCCAACATGTCATTGCCCGAGACAGGTGGCTCAATCCACGTGAGGGTCCGCCTCTGATTTGTTCTATAGCTGCTGTTTGTCTTTCAGTCTTTGCTCATTAGCGACAGTATCTTCTCGAGCAAAGTATATGTGTGTGTGTGTGTGTATTTGTCACGTGTCTGACGCGGCCATGTTCGATTGAAGCACACCAACTGGCAAACTGGCACCAATCACACTATGTCTCTCGCGATTTAGGCTGACAGCCACTCGAATGCTGCAAATGGACTAGGTCTGTCACGCTTGGCCCTGTTAGCTAGCAAGCGGCTAGCGCGAAGCTAGCGTGCTAGCTAGCAATACCCAGCGCTTCCATGCAGGTTCGTTGGCGTTAGTTGGGCATTCCTTTGAAGTAAGTCGAAAAACATGGCTCGCAAACGCCCGTGGCCACTTGCTTTAGACTAGGCCATTTTGGACACAGCCCAGCTGTCCTGGACTGGCTCTTTGACAGCCTCCATCGGAGCCTTCTGCACGGAAGGTTCTGTTGGCGCAGTGGTCGCCGTCGGCGCCTCGTGGACGCTTGCACGCCAGCCCGCATGCACGCCACATTCCACAAGCATCTGGTGGCTGATGAGTCGAGCACGTCTCTCTTGGGGGTGTGGGGTGGGCGGGCGTGCGGGTGCGGGTGCGGGTGCGGGTGCGGGTGCGGGTGCGGGTGCGGGTGCGGGTGCGGGTGCGGGTGCGGGTGCGGGTGCGGGTGCGGGTGCGGGTGCGGGTGCGGGTGCGGGTGCGGGTGTGGGTGGGTGTGGGTGTGGGTGTGGGTGGGTGGGTGTCAAGCTCAAACAGCCAAGACACAAAACAAAAAGGGTTTCAAAAGCGCAATCCACCGACAAGGCCCACCTCCAGTGCCTCATCTTTCTCTTGGAAGGACAGCTCCGTCTTTGCCTCCGCCAGGAGCTGTGCCACTTCCGCGGGCACCCCGCGGCTGCGCAGCAGCGCGGCGGCCGCGCCGCGGGCGCTCTGCGGGGAGGTCCGGTCGTCCGCGATGGCGAGGACCAGCGCCTCCAGGCACTCGGCGCGGGACTTGTCCCCCGCCAGCACCCACTGCACCAAGCGCTGCACAAAGTCCCCAGCGCTGTACCCCAGCTTCAGCAAGGCCTCTCTGCAAATACAAAACCCATCTGGGCTGCCCGTTTTCAGACCCCCTGCCGAAAGGTTTAACTTTTGGTGGGTTGCATGGAAACCCCCACTAAACCCGAAGAAAAAAAACTGAAAGCAATAAGGGGACGGCCGGGACCCACCAAGCAAAAAAAATGAACCCCACACTAAACCCGAAAAAAACCTAAAGCAATAAGGGGACGGCAAAAATCAGGCTCAAAGTAAAAGTTGAGCTGCACAGTGCAAGTAGGCTTCCAAGACCGCGGGGGCTCGCAGCTCAGCAGCCTTCAAGTGCATCTTCGCCGGGCTCTTCTTCGAGGATTTCCTCGGCACCTTGTGCAGGTCGTTGGGGTCAAATGGCCCGGCCCAGTGGATGATCTGGGCCGCCAAGTCGAAGTGCCCTGCCTGCAACTCAGGTCGCCGACACCATGACGAAACGAGTAAAAGAATGCACCCCGAAACCAGAATATTGTGAAACTTAAAGAAGCGGTCATGTCCCAGCTGTTCACCTGTGTCTTGTCCCCAGCCATCGCTTTTTGCAGCGCGAAGAGGGATTCTGAAAGGACAACGTCTCGAACAAATACTTCTCAACATCGCTCACTGTCCTCGTCTCTTGCAAAGAAGCTTGCCCCATCCCAATGATGGAAAAGGGGAGCCACCTGTCATAACGAGAGAAAGGCGAATCACATTGACACAGATTGGACAAGGACTGGGCATTTCAAAAGTTAAGCAGGGTACAGAACGGCATGTTCAACACAGCTTTCCAAGCGAAGTGGACCAAGTCCTCGCCTTGGAAGCAACAGCCCCTTACCAAAGGTGTTTTTGGGAAAATAGATGGCCCTGGTGGTTGATTGAACCACCAGGTAAACCAGGAATCGCCCCTATTTTCAAACCAATTCAACCAAAAAGGACAGCAATGCCCCATGGCTCACTCACCCTCGGCCATGGACTCGCCTCCAGGGCCTGCAGCGTGGCGAAGGACCCGGCGGGCCCCAGCTGGGCCCCGGCTGCGTGCAGGGCCCGCACCGCCTCCTGCTGCCCCGCCTGAGTACCAAAAATGGCTGTGGTGGTCAAAACCGTTTTGGGATCCCATTTTGGGGTAGGTGCACCAATGGAACCATTTTGGTTGGTAGGTGAATTCACCACCCATTTTAGAGCCTATTCCAGTGGGGATTGCGATGTTCACAAAAACGGTCGCAAGCCCACCATGCTTCAAGAACTAAGAAGGCGGATATCGGCTATTTGTGGCAAGGGGCTTGTCATGGCTTTCACCTTCATTTACCCGGGCCTTTTTTGCTGGTGCCCCGCCTGGGCCGCGGCGATGAGCGGCGTGTGCCCGCGCTTGTCCACCAGGTCCAGGTCGGCACCTGCCAGGGTGAAGCGCGTCGAAGGCTGAAGCGAGCGTCGGAGCGCCAGCAGCCGTCCTTTTGGTTTGGTCAATGTTCTGCGTGTGTTCCTTCTTCGTTTTTTGTTTCCTACTTGTTGTTTCTTTTTTTTGGTCTCCTTGTTCTTTTTCTTTCCGCTTTTTTCGGCCGGCAAGAGCTGACTCACTGAAAATGGGAAAGGCCCCACTTTGGGTTTTGTGTACGGACTTAACCCGAAGAAAAAAGGCGATATGCCATAGGGGGTCTCCCATTTCGGACACAACCTGACTCGACAACCACACACCAACAAGATTGATGGCTCGGTTGGGCAAAATGTGGCAAGATACTCCATTCTCGGCAGTCGGACTCTATGTGCATAGCAGTCTAGATGTATCAGGGCTATGCTTTGACGCGAGAGAATGACTCCGTAACTGGGTGCCTGCAGCCAGCAAAGCAGGCACCACAGCTGGATCTGCTTCCGCCGCAATGTGCAAGGCGCTTCTTTCAAAGAGACTGTCCACTGCAGAAACATTGGCATGCAGCTGAATACAAAGTTGCGCAATTTCTGTCTCTTTCAATTCCAAGGCTCTCATTAGCACCGTGCGGCCATGAGAATCCTTGGCATCTGGATTTACTCGATCTCTGTGGCTCGGCTCTTCGGGATCCGCTGCCGTGGCAGCAGGTTGACCTTTCAAGAATCTCAGGGCAAGATCCGGCTGCTCACACTCCATGGCGAGATGCGCAAGGGAGCCATCATTGTCATGCCCCAATCCCAGCGAGAGGTCCGCAGGTCCAAGGCATGCATCCACAAGATCTTCGAACTTCCCTTGCACTGCTCGCCACAACACAGTGCGTCCGTGTGCATCACGAAGATCAGGGTTTGCCCCATTCCGCAGCAAAGCACAGGCCGACGACAAGTTGCCAGCGTCCAAGGCCATGTGAGCTAAACCAAGCCCATCACCGCCCACAGTGCAGTCCGCGCCGGCAAAGCATCGTCTTTGAACAGTGGCAAAGTTTTGAAGCAGCAAAGGCTCCAGCAAGCAAGCAGCAGAAGAGCAGGTTGCAGAGAAACGCGCTCCGTAGGAAATCAGCAAGTCTTCGATTGGCGCAAAACGGCCCCGAGGATCCATGGGAATCAATGGCCTGCGACGGCCAAGAGCCCCACTGGCTGACATTCCCGTTTTCCTGGAACGGTCAGTCATCCTGCCAGCTGATCTTGCTGTCACCTTGCTTCCGACGCTGGGCGCCCGGCCCATTTCCGAGTCCTCCTCCTCCTGCATGGAACTCTCCACGCACTCCCAGAGCATGGCCTCGAAGAAGCCAGCAAAAATGCACCAATCCAAGGCGGTGCGGTGTGAAGCATCCTTCACGCAAACATCTGCCCCGGCGCGTAGGCGCCTCTCCAGCCCGGCGTAGTCACAACTCTTCACCGTCTCCGCAAGCACTTCCAGCATTGCAGCGTTTTGGAAGCAAGCACCGCGGGAGCAAAACCAATCTTCTAGGTCTAAGTCTTGCTTGATCAAGGCATGGTCCAAAGCGCCGAATCCAGATTCATCTGTCAACTGAAAATCGTGTTGATTGGCCACCAGACCTAACTCTTCCTCCGCTTTCAGGTTGCACATCTCAGCTACCGAACCATGGCAGGCGATGAACAGCAGCTCCTGGGCCAAATTCTGGCGAAGCAGCTCAGTGATCGGCTGGGAGGACAAGGAACAGGCAATGCTCCAGGCAGTCTCGCAGTGCTCAAACTGGTCAGACTCACTCCCTGATACATGTCTTGGGTACATCCGGGCACCAGCCCTGAGAAGAGCAGACACCATCACGGGGCAGCTTTGCCGTACAGCTTCCATCAGCAGGGTAGGGCAGGGGGAGCGCACCTCTCCCAACATCCCATCTTCCGTCAAAGTGGCGATGCTGGGGTAGATCTTCACCAAAATTCCAAGGAGTTGCTCCAGGTAAGCCGGCCTCCGATTGCGAACTGCCACAAACAACTCTGCGAGGGCCAGGTCGCGGTTGGGCAGCACGCCGCGCTGGCGCAGACATGTCACGCAGTCCTCATGGCCCGCTTTCAGCGCCAGCATGGCAACATCATCGCCCTGGGGATCCCGGTCACTGCAACGCGCGCCGGCATCCAACAAAACCTCCAGGAGCTGCACGTAGCCGGCACGCGCAGCCATCCCGGCAGCTGTCAGACCCTCGCTGCCCACCACGTGTATGTCAACCCCATCCAATTGCCTGAGCAAATCCACAGATCCACTCTGCACTGCAGAATGCAGCGGGTACTGACCAGCCAGGTCTGGAAGGTTGGCGTCTGCTCCAAGGCGGAGCATGGCACTCACCTCAGAGACACCCAGCAAAACAAACTGCAAACTGTTCGTGTTTATCGTGTTGTCTCGTCCATCTCAAGTGCTGCCCAAGCTTCAAGAGAGAAGGCTGGGTCTGCTTCACCCAGGCTTGCCGCGAAGGTGAGCAACGATGTTCTCTCTGGCAGCATAGAGTTCGGATCAACGCCAGCTTCTACTAACCTTGGATCACAAGAAGGATAAGGTCAACATGTCGTTCAGCCCTCCGCAATTCTACCCTTGCCCTGTTCCTGTGCTCACCGTCATCTAGTATTAGTTTACTGAAGGGGATGCCATTTCGCATGGCAGTCAATTGCGGACACAAGTGATTGTGACTGCAGCTGAAGCTGTGGCTGTCACACACAACTCAAAACTGTCGCACAACTTGTGCAGTAGTTGTCTCGTTCTTCTTCTTTCCACAATGTCCCCCCCCCAAAAAAAAAATATGCTCAGGTGATATCCCCAACAGCATGCGGTGCTGTTTTTAGTGCTCGCACCACCCCGCAGCCCTCGCAGAACCTCGTGGAACCCTCGTAAAACCCTGCTGGAACCCTGGTGGAACCCTCGTGGAACCTTACCTCAGGGCCGCCCCGGACCACCCCGCAGCCTATCTGGGCTGAGACCCCAAAGCTTTTCAGCTGTTGGGGAAAAAAGAGAAAAGGTTCAAGGCTGGGATGCCATGACTGTAGCTGATTGAAGCCGCGTGGCTCGATGATGGTCGCTAGGTCCTGGGCGGCAGCAGCCTTGTGAAGCCGCGAGCGGGCAGCACGCAGCCTGGGCAGAGTTGAGGAAAACAAAAGGACGCCCGAATTTGCAAATTGAGCCTACGCTCCCTCAGACTAACACGGAAGCTCCAAGAAGGCCTCTCTAAATGGAAACAAGTCTGCAAAAAAAATCCTGGGCGCTTCCATGTTAGCCTGGGGGAGGGTAACACGGAGAGTTTGGGGCCCGTTTTGAGCCATGGCTTTCTGTTCCATCGATGCTAGAAGGTGGTTGTTGGTCTCAGGTTCAAGGCCACGTTTCGGGGCCTCAAAATGTGACACGAGGTCCAACCCCCTAGCAAAGGTTGTGAAGCTGATATGTATATATAGACATATATATATATATATACATATATATATATATATATACATACATATATACATATATATATATATATTGTCATCCGACATACCAAGCTGATGCAAATCCATGCACTGCAAATCCCAAGCGGCGAGGTCCGACGCATGTCTGTGGGTCAAAACCCTGTACCCCTGGTGAACATCAAAATAGATGACAAATGGATGTTCATCCACCCCAAAATGGGATCGCCATAGGTTATGCCCGCCACATCTGAGCCCCGCGCAAGTCACCTGAGGTTCCCGCACAGTTTCTTCTGCTTCTGTGCCCTTCGCCAGCTCTACCGCGTGCCCGCAAACCTCATAGCAGCTGACACCAGCTGACATTGACGAGGAGGGCCTAACCCCTTGGGCGGATGCAGTTTCAGCAAAACCATGTGATGTGCAGTGATAGAAACTTAAGGGCTCGAGACTCCCACATTCATCTTTCTTCTTAGTCTCAAGTTACTGAATCGCTCCTAGGGCAATGGATGTCCAACTGCGGCCAAGCTCGCATTTTGAATCATGAGTGTTGCTAACGCACACCAAGAGCCCAGGGGTTGAGAGCAAAGATCGTCTGAAGATTCAAGATGGCATACTTCAACCCCCTTATGCAGAAGCAAGCAAATATATGAATCATGTGTTCTGCTTGTTTTCAAGGTTCTGAGTGCGTGACTACAGAACATGAACACATTGCCTTTCGATGCAATGGCTGTGAATTGCCTTACCATAATCTAAGCCAGTTACCGTCTTTCAAAACTATCATTTGTTGCTCCTGTTCTACGAAACGGGTTGATAAAGATAACATGTAAGGGTAAATGATGATTGTGTGCTTTACCTTTCTCATTCAATGTTGCTGATGCATGTGCATCTGCAAGTGATTTGGTTGTGTGATCGTTCTTTTGTACTACAGTATGGTTTGGTTGATGCGCAAAAGATATTGTTGGGGTATCCCGGTTCATGGCTTGTGTATGTACGTGCACTGTTTGTTTTCCTATGTTCTTCAACTGTATTGATGGTTGTATGCTCTGTTGGTATTTGACTGCATACTGTGATTTGTTGCTTCTTACTCTATGGATCTATTTGGATGTTGATGGAACGTATCTTACCTTGCCGAATGCCTCTTTAAAAGCATGCAAAGTTAGGATCGTTCGGTCAGTGTTGCAACTGAGTTGCGCCTTTGAGCTCTCTGGTCTCGGATCGGCCACGTGCAAGTGTAAAACCGCAAATCAGCGGCGGGAAGATCAACTCTTGTCTCTCTCTCTCTCTCTTGCGGCCATGGCAAGGGTTTAGGGTTTAGGGTTTAGGGTTTAGGGTTAGCAACAAAGCACACCTGAATGACAAGATTGGAGCGGCATCTAACAAACAAAGCTAGGAGCTACTGTTGCAGAAGCAACAACTCCTCATCTGAAGCGACTGCGGAAATCGAAGACGACGGCGAAAATACATTGCAATGTCAATCCAAATGCTTCCTCCAGGCTGTTGAAGACAACAATCCGACAATACCGAACTCAAAATAGGATATCAAATCTTAAAGTTGTCGAGCTCAGATTTAGGCTTGAGGAGTAGCTTCTCCATGTTTAGCGCCATTGCAAACATCAGCCGGGTTGTAGGTGTCAGAAGAATTTCGCCGTTGGGAGGAGTGGGCAAAAACGAAAATGCTGGCAACCACACATAAAACAAAAACAAAGCAAATCAGAATTAGGGTTTCGGGGTTTACGATTTCAGACTTTTGGAGTTTAGGGGTTTCAGGTTCTTATTCATTTGAAGGTTTCACTGTAGGGTTTGAGGGATTTGGATTTTGGATTTGTGACTTGGGGCTTGCTTCGCCATTTTAGCCGTCGCATCCGCTGGGCTGAAGCCGTCGCGGGGTAGAAATCGAAAATGCGTTTTGGGTATCAAGAGTGACGGCCGAGGCAGATTCAGGATGGTGGAACGGAGCAAACCAGATTGAATTGTCATGCTGCAACCCTGCAGAAACACTCCGACTTGCTCTGGCAAAGGTTTCTGGATGCTGCAGCCATGCACTTTGGGTACATGGACCAAGGACTAAACCCTGCGGTTTCCTGGTTCAAAAATTGACCCAGAGGTTCCCAAATCCTCGCTTCTTCCGTTGGCTTCAACTCCGCCTTCTCCAAGCCACGATGGCGCCATAGTCCAAAAGGAGGGCAACCAGGTCCGCCTGGCCAGCTGCAGCTGCATGAGAAAGCAGCGGAGATGTGCCGCGGACCACGTTAGGATCAGCACCTCACTGAAAACTGGGGACAGGCAGGGACTTGCAGCTATGACAGCTATGGATGCTTCCATGGACTGTGGATCATGCGATCATACTGTGTCTTGAGTTGCTGTGTGCAACTCTCGGAAGTCTTGCTGGTTTGCTTTGTGCACGAATCTGTAGCAGGGGCATGGTTTTTGCTACAACTGAGGCAGCCACCATATGCCAGAAGCCGGCTAATGGTCGCCAGCTGCTCAGCATCGTCAAAGCTTGCCACTTGATCTGCGAGATATTCGTTGTCCACCAGCCGCTGTGCTCGCGCGGACTCAAGCAAAGACATCACCTGTTCCTGGACGCGAGTGCATGGCTCGCTGTGGCGCCATGACACAGTTGTCTAGGCTGGAGTTAGGACCCCAGCAAAAAATATCTTATTTGCCTGGTTAGTGGAAACCAAAGGGACCCCAAAAAAGCAAAAAACAAAAAACAAAACAAGGAGAGCTAATTCTGGGGATGTTGTTAGGTTGCTGTGTCACGTCCTGAAAAGTCGCGTCGGACAGGTTTTCCACCACCGCATCCAAAGCCTCCTCGAAGGGGTCCGCACCTGGAACCACGAGCGACCCATCGGCAATTGTGCCGAGCTTTGCCGCTGAGATGCCAGAGGCCACCAAAAGCGAGACGCACTGAAAGTGCTGACCGGCAATGGCCAAAGAGAGCGGGCTGTAGTCACCTGTCCGTTCCGAAAACTATCCGGCCGCACATCTCATCATCTGCAAGCTGAGGCATCCACCTCTGGGGGAACAAGAAGGAGGCAGCCGCGGTTGGCTGACGGGCGCGCCGGCGTCGATCAGCATTCTTGGTCAATCAACCCCGAATAGCCGGGAGAAAGGCATCACCAAACAAGCACCGCCGGCAACCACCGCGGAACCTTGAGCACACCTTGACCAGCACCCAAAATTGCGAACACGCAAAAGACCCCCTTTGTAGAAGATGAGAACCCGCTTTCAGCTGTCTGCGGAAAAATGCGCCCGTACCGATATCAGCACCTCAAATAGCACCCCAAACAGCACCTCAAAACATATATGTACATGTCTATGTATATGTACATGTTTATGTATTTGTATGTTATGAAAAACATGAACTATGTACATGAAACACATGTATGGGTATAAACATGTATATGTACAACATGTCTGTGTATAGTATGTATATGTACATGTATATGCACGTGCTCGTTTATGGTGTATCCGTACATGTACGCGTTTAATGTGTATGTGTATGTCATATGGATGTGAACGCAAATGTGTCTGCATATGTGTATGTGCATATATATCTATATGTATATATATATATATACATGTATGCGTGTATGTGTGTGTGTTTGGATGATGCCAACAAGGTTCTCGCACTTTTCAAAGGGATTCTAGGGGGCCTTTTGAAGCCGGGGAACTGCAGGATGTGTTGGAAGCCGCAGTGCGCCGCCAGGCCCGCCACGGTGCAGCTCCAGCCATCCTGCAGCGGGATGGCCAGCACCTTCGAGAGGCCGCCGAGCGCCGAGGCTTCCTCCAGCAGCTCGAGGACGGCTTCCTCCGCGTCGGCCGCCGAGCCGGAGCCTGACACACAGCGGGGAGAGAAAAAGGAAAGGAGAAAAATAAAGCGTGGAACTAAAAGGAGATACGGCATATAGAAAAACATCACTTCAAGGGCGCTTCTATTTCAAGGGGCCCGGGCCGCCTTGTCAACCCTGGCCCTTGCGTCACACCGTTGGTGAACCTAGGTGCAACTCGTTGCGGTTGAGGGAAAGGCAGGAAACTCGTTCTACTATGGATGGACAAAATCCACTTGGCACCAGTTGCTGTAGGTGGTTTATCCCACAGTCTTTCTCTTGGTTTCCTTATGGTTGAGGAACGCACACTTCACATCACATCTCACTTTGTCAGGAAAATCCACCGGCGCCGGCCGGCATGCAAACGACAGGGGCTCTATTGCTGTGATATGTGTCCCCTTATGTCGCTGCGGCTTGCCTGCTGCTGGGACCCTGGGGGGTGGATCAGAGTGGATCCGTCAGCGCCTTCATGACCTTCTTTCTTTCCATATGATGCGTGGCTCTCTTTGGACCCCAAGTTGTCCTCGTTTACGCTGCTTGACCAACTACTTGCCCTCTTGGGAGAAGAGTTGCCGCTTTCTTCCCCATTTGGCCATGGGTCAAAATCCAAAGCCCGTACCCCCAGTAAACATCAACCAATCCCTACTAAAATAGGTTCCAAACTGGGTGGTGAATTCAGCTACCCCAAAATGGTACCATTGGTTTTGACAACCACAGCCATATGACCCTTCGATTGGGGGGCAATCAATAAGACGCCTCAAGGTCCACAGCTCCCCTCAAACCTCTTTGGAGGTGGTTCTCTAAGGCGAGCCGTGCCAAGGGCCGCCTATCAACCGACGTGGACCCGAGTGCTTTCAAACCGGCCCGGGCAAACGCCGGTGTCCGACTCGCGCAAGGCTCGAAAAAAAACTGAGACGGAAAGCACAAGAGAGCCCGAACCAAACTGCCCACCCAAAAAAAAATACTATGATTTAACCATGATCAAAGTCAGCCCGTAAGTTGTGGGTTAACCCCTAGAAACAATCAAAATCATGACCCCAGTTATACTGATTGTTTTCGTTCCTCCCAAACGGAAAGCTTCTTTGTTGAAAGCCATTTAAACCCGAGCCACGGATGGCCGAGCGCATGGCGGAAGCCAGCTCCTCGAGCACCCAAGTGCCCGAGTCCAGCTCCTCCTGCATCACCTTAGGCAAAGAGCTCAGACCGTTTTTTGCAGGTCCGTCTCAACACGCGGACCGGACCCCCCCGCTTCCCCTTTTTCCCAGCAGCAAAACGGGGGGGGGAGGTGTGGGGGAGCGGGGCTCGTTTAAACCTGTAAGGTGATGCAAGGGGAAGCGAGTTCAAAAGATGCACACCCATGTATCAGCTGACACACAACATGATAGCTGACTGACTGGGTAGAGTACAGGTACATTGGTGAAATATACCTTTCGCTACCATTCAAGAATCAAAGGGAGCCTCCTAAGGAGCAAGGACACCCCTGATGATCCCCCAGGCTTGCGAAACTTTGATTGGTCCGTATAACAAGGACATCTGGTCTAAAGAAACCAGCATGAAGCTCAGCATTCGGTTAGGACACAGACATCTACCCGAATATCTCTGAGATATCTCTGAGCGAAAGGGAGATGGAGGCTGGACAGCTCTGGTGACCGCCCCGTTTTTTGGGGGGTGGAGACCTGCCACCTGCGCCCCGAAACGGAACCGTCTGGTCGATGGCCTCGTGCACCCTGGCCGCCGTCAGGCGCAGCAGGCAGACGCAGCCGGAACAATCCACCCAGACCTGCAAGTCACAAGCTGGCGCCTCGGCAACGTCCGGTCCGGTCCCAAAGACATGGGACCCGGTTCCAAAGCTCCGAGAAATGTGATCCCAAAGAGCGGGGGCTGGTCAAAATGGGATGACCCCTTGGACCACCAAGGATGATATGCCCCACGAAAGGGGAAAAGCTACCCGTGGTCATTTGGAGGCCAGGAATAGATCAACCCCTACCTGTGCCCTGTGCAGCTCCGTGACCCCACTGATTCGAGCTTCTCCTGAAGTCATGCCCAAAAAGCAATAGAGATTTAATCCGAGTGCTTATCGTTCCAAAAGCAAACTTTGGGCATCTGCAGCTAGGAAGGGGTGAGCTTAGCAATGCGACGAAGATGGCTTGCTTTTGTTGGCTCCGTCATCGAATCCACGAGAGTTGGATTAAAGATCAGAACGCGGCGTGTGGCAACATGCCATGGACATATCAAGAAACCGCCTGTGGCGCTTCGATTGTGGCAAGCAATTTAAATAAATGCAAAGACATAAATGGAAGCTAGTTGTGGAGCAAATAATTTGTTCAATTAAATGCAAAGACATAAATGGAATTAACTCTTTGAATAGCAAATCAAAAGCATAAGGAAAAAATGGAAACTGGCTGTGGAAGGTCTGCGAGGCTGCACTCTCAATGCTGGTTCAACGCCCACTGCTTCCCTGCTGACCAAGGGAAGCAAACGGCGTAACGGCCACGAGGTCCCACAAACGGCCAACTGCCACAGTTGCTACTTCTTACCAGGGCCGCCTCATTTGCCAAACATACAGCAACTTCCTCAAGAGCATTGCTGCCATGGTACTGGCTTGAGACTGGAGTCTGAAAGCAAAGAGCCGTGGAGACTACTGGCGCTTTGCACTTCAGAGGCAGTGCTCGCCATGAGCTGGGCATGGAGAGCATCCACAGCTGCCGCTGCTGCTGCTTTGGCCCCAGCAGCAGCCTCAGGGACAAGTCAAGTCAGACTTCATCCAGCCCGTGCCTCAAAGTCCTCACAGGAATCGCTCAAAACCCATAGCGTGCTTTCTCCCTGGTGGAAAAACGATTGTGCAAACCGACCACTGGCTTTGTGCCCATCCGGCCCTCATTTTTATCCACTGCCTCCATGGACTGCATGGCAGCGTGAGCTGCGGCCGCCACGCCTGCCGCAGCGACTTCTCGCGCCACCAGAGGATCCTGCAGGGAATGAAGCAGCACGGACCAGACACATCTGGTGAGTCACAATCAAATCCCGGTATTAAAATGGTCTACCCAGAACCATGTAGGAAAACAAAAAGAAGGCGGCCACAACTATTTCTGGCTGGGACTGCCCCTTACTCACCTTCATCTACCGGGTTTTGATTGTGGCTCTGGTGGGTTTGTGAGAAGGTTGCCGCGGCTCTCACTCCCATCCAGCCCTGTCGACTTGCCGAAATTCATTGAGTTGGGAAAGGGGCACCAGTAAGGCGACACTATGTGTAAACACCCAAACCTCCTGCATCTCAGCAGCATCCACGGCAGGGATGTCGGCTTGTATACACCGCAGTGCTGCATCTGCTGCCGCCGCAACGCCAGCAACTGCCACCGCACCAGCCACTGATCGCTCCGACGCCATGGACGCAACGCCTCGCGAATCTCGCAAGTTTGAGGACGCCACCGAGGTGCCTCGCAGCAATTCATCTCTGATTCCCCGGATGGCGAAGGGCTTGATCTCCTCCAATGCTTTGTAGACATCTGGAATGCTGGGCAAGATCAGGGTTGCCTCCAGGCCGCCGACCACGAAGGCCCAGTCGCCTTCTTGCTGCTGCCGTGCCAGTCTTGCCATGCGCAGGGCCGTGGGCCTGCGGGCGAACTCCACGCGGCCGTTGGTCGCCAAGCCTAGGGCCAGCCGCCGGAACTCGGGCTCCGCCGAGGCTGCGAAGTCCGCGGCGTCCTGCGCGGACGACAGGCGGCAGCTGGGGCGGTGGATCAGCAGCCGCTTGCTATACAAGCTCTCTGCTTGGATGCTGCAGTCCAGGCAGTTTTCCGCCAAAGCAGCAGCAAAACCAGAGTGCTCCAGAGCTTCCTCGAGGTCAAGAGGCTGACTCAAATCGAAGCTGCACATGGCTTGGGCTCCTTGCACTTCTTCCACACAGTCTGCGGCTCCATTTCGCATGAGGAGGTGGCATACGTCCTCCAACCGCTTGGCCGCATCTGAATCTTTGTCTGATTCCAAGTTGAAGGCGTTCACAGCAGCCATCAAGCACGAGGAGCCCAGGGCGGCAATGGCGCCAGCGTGCAGCAAACTCCGTGCACATCCCAGGAAGCCGCCTCTGGCGGCATACCACAGCGCCGTGTTGCCCAAGCCATCCCGCACGTTCACCAAACCACTCTCGAGATCGAGGAGGTCCTGGAGCACAGCCAGCCGCCCGGTTTCATCGGCGGCTGGCCGCAGCATCGCCGCATGCAGGGCGCTGCGCGCAGAGACCCGCAAAAAGGTCGGCAACTGCAGCTCCTCTCCGGCAAGAAGCTGGTCTCCCAGATCCAGTGGGAGACTCGAGTTCTCATCAAAAGCATCTTGGAAGGCGCGTAGTCGGCGGGTTTCGGGGTCGATCTGTAGCTGCAGTCTGCTGAGTTGTTCAGCATCGCATTCCACAATGACCTCAACGCCAGTGCTAAGAATGCTCGGGTCTGCGCCCGCATCCAGCAGCTCTCGGACGAGTCGACGGTCATGTCTCGCACTGGCCAACATCAAGGCTGTCCACCCGGAACTGTCCAGCAAGCCGAGATGACAGTTGAAGGATCTTGCCAAATGCGCTACTTCAAGGTCGCCGTTCCGAGCGGCAACATGCCACAGAGAATATCCAGTACAATCTTGCTGCCAGTTGCAGTCCCCACCCTTCCGAAGCTTCTCCTCCGCTGCTTGCACGTTGCCATCACTGGCAGCGCGAAGAATGGCCTCGTTGTAGTCGTGCTGCGTGACCTCGTGCAGTCGCAATCTTGCAGGTTGAATTTCATCAGCTCCGATGCACGCCCTCACGGAATCGTCGATCAGTTGCTGCAAGGATGAGCATTCCTCCAGCGAAGCGCTTAGCTCCTTCCTCAACTCCTCCTTGCGTCTGCCCCGGCACAACCATGACAAACGGTCACAAAGTGGCTTGTACCTTGCTGGGCTCAAACCCAAGCGTACTGCTGCATCAATGAAGCCTTGCACCACATCCTCCTCCTCCAAACTCTCAGGTGCTTGTATGCATTCCTCCAGCTCTTTCAGGCACCGTTCCAGTACAGGTCCCAATGAGCCCGAACCGATCATGGACTCTAAGGCCAGAAAGTATCGCCCCACCTCCTCGATTCTGCGCGCCAAGTAGGCGATTTCCTGCTTCACATACCTATGGGTCATGAAGCACGTGTCTGGCCTCGCAGCTTTGCCACCTGGACAAGGCGGGGCAGCGATGATGCTGCTGCCTAGCGGGCCAGGATTCGGAGCAGGCCTGATATCATCCGCATCATCTTCGGCACCCAAACTCGGCGCTGGCAAAAGGCCCTGCAGGTGGGTCACCGTGCAGTCGTCGCAGACATTTCGGGATCTGGTCGTAATGTGAGGTGGCCGGCGAAGAGGCTTGGGTGCCCGCTGGGTGGCAAGCAAAGAGGAGAAACCCAAGGTCAGGTCCCCAGCTTTGTAATTCCAAGAGCTCTTAGTCTCGGATTTGTCATCGGATGCCATCAGATCAGGGTCGTGCGTACGTGCTTCCGTGCTTGCTTATTTGCTTGTTTGTGCGTCTGTGTGTATGTGCCCACATGTTTCTCCTATTTGTCTTGTGCTTTCTGGGGTAGTACTCATGTCCACTCTGTTGAGATTCTGCATCAAGCTCTTTGTGCACGTGTGTGTGTGTGTGTGTGAGTTGCATGTCAATGCCTCTCATCTGAGTCATCATCCCAAACGTCGCAAACAATTGCTGGTATAAGATCATGACATCAGAGCTTGCAAGCACATCATGGAGAATCTGGTCACTCAGGACAAACTGTCTTGAAAGTTGTCCAAAGCACTTAAATCCACTTGCTCGTACTTCGGTGACGCTTGAGGTACGCTTGAGCAAAAATATGTTGCCAGCTGCGACAAAGAAAGGGTGAACAACAAGAAGAGGAGCCTGCAAGCACACAGGAACATGCTACTGCAGCCAACAAACGTATTCGAACAGAAAAACAATATGTAATAGCATGATGGGCAGCAGCGATTTTTCCAGCAGACATGCCGGGTCAAATACTCACTCAAAACTGGAGCGAAATGTTGGAAGATGCTTGTGAACATGTGCTTTTCCTGTGGTTGCTAGCCACACGTGCCAAGCTCCAGTTGGAAACGCCATCAACGGCAGGGGCTCCTCTGACCCTCAGCTGGCTCGCGCGGCTATTTCGTGTGAGAATCTCAGCCAACAACTTGCAGCATCTGGCCCTTTTGTTCAGGCCTCAGCGGCTACGCTGCAAAGACCTGCCTGCAGCGTCGGGGCCCCAAGCGCTGGGCCAGTTTGACTCCATCGGGTAACCATCAGCTGCGCCGTGAACCTGGCAATTCAACAAGGCTGCAAGCCATACTAGAAGCTTCTCACTTTTTTAATATGGCTGTGGGTCAGCAATACTGTACCCAAAAAGGAACCCTGGTAATGGAAACTTGGACTACAACCTGCGGTCCAATTCCTGGTGAATTTTGACCCACACCCATATCAACACTCAACAATCGCTGGATTGCATTCGCCGTATCTGGGCCTCACTTCGCATGTCCATCCGCTCCCCAGCATCGCTGCTTGGCGGGGAAAAGCGGGGAGGAAAATTGTGCACCTAAGATTTGCGACTCTATGTCCTGGAAACAGCCAGGGGCTGCACTTTTTGCACGCATTGAATGTTCCTCAACCCATAAAACCCATGTCTGTGGCTTGGGCCGTCCAGTCATCGTCGTATGCCTCTTCCAGGTCAACCTGAACTCATACAAGATCACAATGCGCTTGCGGAAAGCTCCCAGGCGCGGGGCCTGATTCAGCAGGCCTTCTGCGCTGTTGAACATCTCCTGATCGATTTTTTCCGAAGTGGAAATGGAAATGCCTCTGGTCCAACTCTCGCCTGGTCAACCTCACTCATCGAAAAGCATGGAGCCCCTGGAAGCGGTTACAGCATCCAGTGCTTCATTGTACCGGGAACCGTGCCCTATGCTTCTCAGCTCAAACGGAGCAGCTTTGCCCGCGGCGAGAAGGTGCTTCGTCTGTCTCGTCGAGTCGTGTCTGATCAAGTGAAAGCTGGTTCAGACACAAAAGGGGCTAAAATGACTTCTAAGGGCTTAACCACGTACCCTTGGAGTAGGGGGCCGTGATACGTGTACGTACATAAGCTGCCCATTACATATATGTAATGTGTATAAGGAGTATACAAAGGGTATATAATTACCAACTGCCTGCTCCCGGGTCCGTGGTTGAACCCTGAAATTGCTTGCCACAAGTTGCAGCCTCACTTTCGCTTTCGCCGAATGACCTCAGTGAATGAAGTGCCGTGTCGTGTGCCACGATAAGACGCATGCTCATAATCATCCTTAAGTCTTGTATACTCCGTTGAGTAGAGGCCTGCGCGTCAAACTAAGCCTGCTGCAAACTTTTGGCCTGGCAGACATGCGTCTCCGAGTCGCGCTTGGCTGAACATGCACTCCGACAGCCACTTTCATTGAGCTTTAATGACAAATGGCAGTCGTGCGGCCTGATCAGATATGGGCGTCGTAGTGCGGTCCTCCGCTGACTGCCTCCGACGAACACATGGTCCACACAGTTGATCTGGTATTAAAATGGTCGTAATCCCAGAACCATGCTTCAAGAATTAAAGAGGCGGCATTCCGCACCCATTTATGGCAGGGGGACTATCCCTTAACCTTCATCGACCCTTGTTTTGATGTGGCTCATAGCAGCAGATGGGTATGGGTCAAAATTAAACCACCAGGAATTGGACCGCAGGTTGTAGAACCCATGTTTCCATTTACCAGGGCTTGGTGCCATTTTGGGACCCGATGTTTGACCCCCACACCCACATGGGCCCTGCGAAACGAGCGCTCCATTTCGGGGTACATATTTTTGACCCACAGCCAGATCATCCCGCTGAAGCCCTGACTTCGAGAAGGCTCCAGGTGTGGATCGCCTGGCGTCGAATGAAAAAGATCTCGCTGGAACTTCGTCGCGAACTGGTTTCGACCGTTGCGTGCGCCAGCAAGAGGGAAAACAACAGGTTTTAGGGGTTCTGGGGCTTTTAGGGTTCTGGGGTTTTAGGGGTTCTGCGGTTTTAGGGGTTTTAGGGGCTTTGGGGTTTCGGAGATCAATTCTGCAATTGACGCTACCATCTACGCCCTGCGCAGCCTCCTTGTTACTGTTTCCGCCGTATCTGCCGTGCTTTCTGTCGCAGCCCTAGGCAAAGCAGAGTCCAAAGGATGCGAAAACTCCAGAAGCAATTCGAAAACTCCAAAACCAATTCTCGATATACTCACATACAAAAGTACTCGCACATCTACGCACCACCCAAATGGTTACAGAATGCGTGCATTTTCGCAAGGCGCATGCACATGGACCTCCCAACAAGGCTGTGCTCGCATGCGACACTGCTTGCAGGCACTGAGCTCCCCAGCATTTTGGAAAAGGCTCCTGAGGCTGATCGCCTGGCACTGACGCTGAAATGGAGAAGTCTGCGCAGAGATTAAACTTTAAATGTAACATCTTAGGCAGCGTTGAGCACAACGTTCCAGTGAAAGGACCCAGACTAATGAAATATGGCCATGGGTCAAAAACTTGTACCAAAATGACACCTTGGCAAATGGAACCAAAGACTAAAACCTGCGTAACCCCGGTTGGTTAATTTTGAGCCACACTCAAATATGCGGTCCAACCTTGAGAGATCCGGCCAAACCAAATTCTATATAATTACAAGCACAGCACAGCGCCTCTTCGCAGCAGCTGGACCTGCGGCCGCGAGAGAGCAACGTTATGTCCGACGGGGGGTTGGACGACTTCGTCCGGCAACGAGAAAAAAGGCGTTGGAGCCCCCTCTTACGAATTGAGCTTGAGATGTTCATGGCGCCGGAGGCGGAAGAAAGGAAAACAGAGGCTGCCGTGCAGCCTAAGAGTGAGAATGACACCGCTAAGATCCGCCAATCAGCCGCACTCATTGTGCAGCCTGCTCCACGTGTGTGAATGTGTGTGAATGTGTGTGTGAACGTGTGTGTGAACGTGTGTGTGAACGTGTGTGTGAACGTGTGTGTGAACGTGTGTGTGAACGTGTGTGTGAACGTGTGTGTGAACGTGTGTGTGAACGTGTGTGTGAACGTGTGTGTGAACGTGTGTGTGAACGTGTGTGTGTGTGAACGTGTGTGTGTGTGAACGTGTGTGTGTGTGAACGTGTGTGTGTGTGAACGTGTGTGTGTGTGAACGTGTGTGTGTGTGAACGTGTGTGTGTGTGAACGTGTGTGTGTGTGAACGTGTGTGTGTGTGAACGTGTGTGTGTGTGAACGTGTGTGTGTGTGTGAACGTGTGTGTGTGTGTGAAGGTGTGTGTGTGAAGGTGTGTGTGTGAAGGTGTGTGTGTGAAGGTGTGTGTGTGAAGGTGTGTGTGTGAAGGTGTGTGTGAAGGTGTGTGTGAAGGTGTGTGTGAAGGTGTGTGTGAAGGTGTGTGTGAAGGTGTGTGTGAAGGTGTGTGTGAAGGTGTGTGTGAAGGTGTGTGTGAAGGTGTGTGTGAAGGTGTGTGTGAAGGTGTGTGTGAAGGTGTGTGTGAAGGTGTGTGTGAAGGTGTGTGTGAAGGTGTGTGTGAAGGTGTGTGTGAAGGTGTGTGTGAAGGTGTGTGTGAAGGTGTGTGTGAAGGTGTGTGTGAAGGTGTGTGAAGGTGTGTGTGTGGTGTGTGTGTGTGTGTGTGAAGTGTGTGTGTGTGTGTGTGTGTGTGAAGGTGTGTGTGAAGTGTGTGTGAAGGTGTGTGTGTGTGTGTGTGTGTGTGTGTGTGTGTGTGTGTGAAGGTGTGTGAAGGTGTGTGAAGTGTGTTGTGTGTGTGTGTGTGTGTGTGTGTGTGTGTGTGTGTGTGAAGGTGTGTGTGTGTGTGTGTGTGTGTGTGTGTGTGTGTGTGTGTGTGTGTGTGTGTGTGTGTGTGTGTGTGTGTGTGTGTGTGTGTGTGTGTGTGTGTGTGTGTGTGTGTGTGTGTGTGTGTGTGTGTGTGTGTGTGTGTGTGTGTGTGTGTGTGTGTGTGTGTGTGTGTGTGTGTGTGTGTGTGTGTGTGTGTGTGTGTGTGTGTGTGTGTGTGTGTGTGTGTGTGTGTGTGTGTGTGTGTGTGTGTGTGTGTGTGTGTGTGTGTGTGTGTGTGTGTGTGTGTGTGTGTGTGTGTGTGTGTGTGTTCACCATCGCATAGAACAAATACGCTAAGATATGAGCATCAAACACCATGAAACTGGGGTTGGTGGATGAGTGGGCACTAGTTGGCACTTTACTTATCCGCAAAGTAGAGAACATGCAACCCCTTCCGGGCTGTGTTGCAAGAGATCAGCCAGAGTCCCCTCTCAGCCTCAGCCAAACATGATCCCTCCGAACGCCTGCAACAGCTGGAAGCTGATCTTCACACTCAAAAGACCTCAAAGGATTCGAGCCATGCGCAAATGTTGGAGAGGATCTGATTCTATCAAACTCTCAACTTTGCCCAGCCGCTCTTCCACCAAAGCTCGTGTAAGAGCACTTCGCAGCGTGAGCAGCACCTGCGGCACTTGGTAAGTAGGGGCGTCGCTTTAAAAGGGGGTCCCAACAAATGGTGGCTTTCATTTTGGTGTCCCTTAGAAACCAGCCAAAAAAAAGTGGCATTCATTTTGAAATCCCTTCAAAACCAGCCAGAAGAGGGTTCCCAAAACGAACAAAACCAAGTCTCATTCTGACATGCGCTCGCCTGCCGAGGAACATCATCGCGAGACGCCAGCGTGATGGCCTCAAGCTCGACTCCCGAGGAATGCAAAAGATGTGTCATAATCAAAACCCGGTGTTGAAATGGTCTACCCAGAACCATGTACAGAATTAAGAGGGCGGCCGCAACTATTTCTGGCTAGCACTGCCCCTTAGTAACCTTCATCTACTCGGGTTTTGATTGTGGCTCATGTGGGCTTGTCGTTTTTGGAGTTGGTACCCCTTCCTTGAAGCCAAAACGAAACCCTTGCCTTTTCTGAAATGTCCCAAAAAACGCGACATGTCCGTTTTGCACCATGCAAGTGAGTGAAATGAGTGCAGTGAATCTCTAGCGGAATCGACTTGAGGCCAACTCCGTTTTATCATCCCGCCGTCTTCTCAAAGGATCTGCCCGAAACTCCAGCAGCAACCTCGGCATGGGTCGTCGGGCCGAAACAAAAAAAGGACCGCCCGAGTTGTTTGAGTGCTAGCCGCCACTTTTGGTGTCGATGTTGACAGTTAACATGTTCCACAGCTCTTTGGAAAATGATGGTTCCTGATGTTGTGCGATCTCTCCAAAAACAGCACACCAATCAAGGAAACTGAGAGGATTCACTGGATTGCCCCCCAAAAATTGCTCAAACGACTAGTGGCTAGACTAGTGGTATCAAAACCCGGTATTAAAACGGTCTACCCAGAACCATGTCAAAAATTAAGAAGGCGGATGTCCGCAGCTATTTATGGTTGGGATTGTCCCTTACTAACCTTCATCTCCCCGGGTTTTGATTGTGGCTCATGTGTCAAGTCTGGGTTTGATGCTTCCTGGAAATATGGGTGTGTGTGTGCGCTTGTTTCTTAGGAACCCCTTGTTTGTGGGTTTTTGTTAAGGAAAGCCAGAAGGAACGCCACCATTTTGGGGGTGATTGTGGCTCGCATGGAGGAACCAGCTCGAGACAGCTGGGCCAGCCACTCACAGGCCACGAAGTCTCCCTCCCGGGCCGCCTCACAAGCGGATGCAGAAGTCACATCTGCGTCGGGGAGTCTGTCGCTTTTTGGAGTTGGAACCACCTTTTTAGTGGTTTCATAGGGAAACCAAAGGAAAGCCACCAGTTTGGAGGTCCTCTAAAAATAATCACTGGATATCACTGGCATATTAGTGTAGCAAACTCACTCGTGGAAACTAACACTTTGAGTACTGCTCCTCGTACCAGCCTCCATGAGCAGTGTCTCCCCGGTTTCAGGATGAGGCTGCTCAACATCTGCCCCTTCCTGCAAAATTGGACACAGGGCTGACTGAAAAGAAGGTAAATAAACAATGAACCTTGAGTCCCTACTCACTTGCAACATGTCTTTCCGTTGCAAGCCAACCTCCAAAAGAGTTCTTGCCGGCTCTGACCGTGGAATTGCATCTGCAGCCTGCACCAAAAGCATGCCCATGCCATGCTTCCGGCAAGTGCTCTACCCATGCCAGCGACAGCCAAGCACAAAACTCAGAAGGGCAAAGCAAATGAAATGACAAACCAAAGGCCCCAAACTGCTCTCTTGCAGTCACAGCACTGCGTTTTGACTCTTGGTCAAAATGATGCTTGGCCTACCCCAAAATGGGATCCCATTGGTTTTGACCCATAGCCATTCTTCTTGCTGCAAGGCACCCTTGCACTTCGAAGAGCCAGCTGCAAAGGCGTTTCTCCTTCTGACGGCTGGAGTTCGGCACCTGAGAAGGCTGGCAGCGCCAAGAAACAAGTGTCATCTGGGCTGTCCGTTTTCAGCTGCCCAGCTAAAAGTGACTAACTTTTAGTGGGTTAAATGGAAATCCAACCACTAAACACTAAAAGGCTAAAAAGCTAAGAGGATGGCTGGGAACCACCAAGTAATGTTGACCCCCTTTTTTTTGTACCCCTGTGCATTCATATGGGCACAAGTGATCAATCCCCACTAAAACCAGGGACACCCCCATAGTAATAAACAGGGGGTTATTCATCTGGGTTAACATTGGGGAAAGGAGACTCTGCCACTCCATGTTCTACCAGTGATGCCCGCGGAAAACAAAGAAAGAGAACAAGAAGAGCAGAATGCTCGATCTGGGTCCAGTGGCACGCATGCTAACTTCTTATCGGGCACGAATTATTCTCCGCAGCTTCACCTGAAACAGCCTGGTTGCTAAGCCCTGCGCCCCAGCCGATCAGGACTCGCGTCGTTGCGCGAGCGGCCGCTTGCCCACGATCTCCACGCAAAGAAGCTAAGCCTTTCAGGAGGAGGTGCTGGAGGCCGTGCTGGGAGGCCCCCCCCTTTTCCAATCCCCAACAGGGATCCTTACATTAGACACCTGAACATTGCCTTGTGAATGGTGGTTTCCCTTTATTTGGGTGGAAAAAACCATGTTTCAAATGGGCAAAATGTATCTTTTGAGGAGCCCTGCCCAACCAGCTTCGTTTGACCCTCCAAAAGATTGGGCCCCACAGTGCCCGGGCCCAAGGCAATCAGCTCAAGGATGCTCAAGGCATTTTCTCCGTGCCTGCATTGCTTGCGCATAGGTCCAGCAATCGACGTCCTCAGGCCAAGCAATCAACTTCATGTCTTGAGTCAGTTCACAACAACATGCGACCTGGCCAAACCTACTTGTGGGTCGTCCTCTAGAGTTCGCTTGACTGCTATACCAAGCAATCGCCAAACGCTTGGTGGCCATCCCTGAAGCGCATGCCCCCAAAGAACCAAACTCGCTGGTGCTCAGTAGGGAGCGTGGGAATGAACCTGGGGATTCCCGAAAAAAGGAAACCACCAGTGGGATGGTTTATCTCGGGGCCATTCCATTCACTCCCTGCATCTCTCGCACCAGCGAATGGCTTCACCGAGCCCAGGGCCTGGGCGAGCTGCGCAAGCTTCCCCGTCGCCGCCTGCAACCTCCAAGGATGCCAGGGCAAGGCCTTGGTCGGTGATGGGTAGGCGCGGGAGCGACGAAGCCAGAAAGAAAGAAAGAAAGAAAGAAAGAAAGAAAGAAGGGAACGAAGAAAGAAAGATCGGCGGATTCATGTTGTTTGGCAAAGTCAGAAGGGATCCGCCCAAATGGCCGCTTTCTGTCCTCTCTTTCGCCATCCCCAAAGAGCCACTCATTGCAACACGAACAAACAAGGGGCTCTACATTTGTTAAGGCAAGTACCCAGCGAGTGAAAGTCATGACACTTTGCCGCATCAGCAGCTGCGTCCTGCAATCAGAAGCACGTCCCTGCAGTCTCCTCTGCAACTGTAAGTTGCCGCTCCTCCATCACTTGAAGGACAGAAGCATCATCATCATCTGCCGCCTTATCAAGAAGGCGCAACAAGTCGCAAGCTCAAGTTGCTCAGATGCTCTACCCTCAGCCTCTTGTCCACTTGCGCGTGCGAGAAAAAATCGGAGCTGTGTCTGCAGAAAAGCCACGCGGCACGAGGCCAGGGCCCACTTGAGGATCACCTCCGCAGGTTCCAGTTCCGCGGGCTCCGACCTGGGCTTTTCAGAGCCGGGCGGCCAACATGTTTGGAGCTCTTGAAATGGCGAAGATCCGCACATGTCAGATTCCCAGAACCTGAGTCAAGGGATCCAACCTCTATCATGTTAAAATAAAATCTATGCCCAAAACCTGAATTAAGGGATCCCCAGGTGTAGGACCTTTATCACGGCTGCTCGTTATACCCTCAGGTGAGCTCGCTATGAAATGGGCAGAAAATGCTCATGGATCACTCTTTTTACAAGGGCTCAATTCAACCAACTTTGACTTCGCCCTCAAAGCTGGAAAACTGCTACTGGAGGCACTTGCATGATTGGGACCACTTGCATGAGTGAGGTTGTCGTGTCAATGTTGCAACTACGAACCAGGACGCAAGAAAGGAGCTTTGCGTGCCCAGGCAAGTGTTTCAGAAATAAAGCATGTCTTATCAGAGTGAAGACACTTTGAAGTTCACAAAGGCCACGAGCGAAATGTCTTTACAAGCGCAAACAGCCCTGGCACGACAAGTGTCGGTGAAAATCTCAACTACAAATCTAACCTGCTTGTCATATTATGGAGCTTCCATGATGCAGCAGCAGCAGCAGCAGAAGCAGCAGGAGCCATCGTCGTACATTAGGCCAATTCCAATCCGAAAAGGCTGCGCTTGGAGCATTCACAGCTTTAAAGCAGTCTCCCCCATTTGGAATGCTGAGCACCCAGAGTTCCCCTTGACTGCCACTGGCCATGTCGCGGCTGGCGGCTTCTCCCAAAAACTCGTAACTGGCTCAAAAGGGGATCCACTGAATGGTTCGGAGTATGTCAGAAGTACCAGCACCGCCAGCACAACCAATCCAATTGCCCCTTGTGTGTCTTCACCTGGGGGCCAAGTTAAGTGGTGCCTGAGGAAATGTCTCTAATCTCTGACTCCCCCGCACCCGATTGCAGCTGAGGAGCGTCTGCCTTGCATCGTTCAGTGCTGGTGCTGGATCCGCCTTGGATTTTTGGGGTGCATTGCGACCTTGTAACAGGGATCCTTACATTATACACCTGAACATTGCCTTGTAAATGGTGGCTTCCCTTTATTTTGGTGGAAAAAGCCATGTTTCAAATGGGCAAAATGTATCTTTTAAGGAGCCCTGTTGTACGGGCGTCATGGGCATGGTCACAACGGATCATGAACGAAACAGCAAAACTGCCTCGGCGGAATGCATCCCCCCCCTATCTGCGCAGCAAAAGCCCGGGCCTGGTGAAGCAGAAGCAGCCGGCCTGAGCCCACAGCAACCCACAGAACAGCAGCCGACTGATATGGATTTGGGGTCAACATTGGCATGTGAGGGTCAATCTATGCCAGGAGTGAAGTTGATGGTTGATGATCCCTACGTTCAACGGCCGCAAAAAGGTTTCAGCCTAGGGATCGTTTGATTTGTGGAATGCTGATTCAAGGATTGATTTCCGACTGTACCAATAAATACTCAGGCGCTCGCAAAGCTCAGGGTCACCATGCTTAAGACCCAGCCGCAAGGGCGATAGCCTTGGCGCAACTCAAGATTGATTTGTGGCAGCTGGGGCACTGCAAAGGAATGCGCACTGTGGGGCATTGCGAGCGAGGCATTGTGTCGGTATTGACAAACGCAGACACTACATGCAATCACGTGCAAGCCTGAGTCGGTTCTTGCCCTCATTCCCTCTCTATGTCTCTCAGCCCAGACAAGAAACATGAGCCGGAAATGCAATGGCGGAACCCTTCGAAATGCAATCCTGCTGCTTTTCATCTCAGCTCTTGAAAGTCAGACAGAACAAGCAAGCATTGCAGTTCTTCTTGGTTGGACCTTGCGGACGAATGGCTCTTTGGCAGCGCCCTGCAAGTTTGGATTTGCCTGCCACGAGCCAAGTTTTGGCAGAAAGCACTGCACTCACGCTTCGCCATGCTCAGTCAGTTCACCAGTTGAGGTATTGTTCTACCGTGTGATGAGAACCTGCTGGAGAACAGGCCAACGCAGGTTTTGGGTGCTGCTCAGTTAGCCACAATTGCCATCCTGCCTTCTGTCGCAGCAGGTCTCTCACAGCCTTGGAATCCAGACTTCCATCTGAAGGATTGCAGTGCCGGACACTAGGCTAGGCACATCCAGCCGTGTCGGTTCCTGCGCAGAAAACGTCAAGCCAGTGTCAAAAAGCTTCTTGCCGGAGGTCCAGCCTGGGATACCAGGGCACGACGCAGTTCAGCTTTAAAGTCCTGGCGTGCTTTCATCCAGGTGTGTTTCTTCGAGCCCTTGCCACCTTGCTCTCTGTAGAGATGTAGCAATGCCAACGGGTAGCGATGCATCACAACTGAAGAGTGTGTGAATGCACACGCGTTCACAATGATATGCTTCTCTTGTCACCCAAAAAAGTAAAGCATCAATGCGTACGGTGAGCATACATAAAATGTTTGGCGCTTGCCAGTTGTTGTCCAATTTGTGGAGTGGTAATTAGCGGGGCCTCATTCAGAAGCAGAAGACAATGCAACAGCAGAGCGACAATTCAAAGCGCATCCTCTTCCTTCGGCATCGCGGCACGTTGCGAGCCAAAAGAACGTAGGGCACCCCCTAAAATGGGTAAACCATGTTGGGTTTGCGTTGCAAGCAACTGTTCAATGTTGCCGTCGCTTTGACCATGCTATGCTGTGCTGTTGTGCTTTCAGCTTTGAGTTCAACGCAGAAGATCTGGATCAAGCTCCTGCCGAGGGAGAAGGGAGTGTAGGGCAAGGTCGCCGCTAGCTGCGCTTGTCTTGCTTTCTACGCTGTGTGAACGGGACTGCATGCGCTTGGACCACGAGCCGAGCAGGCAACCAGATTGGCAATTGGTAAAACTGATGCATCCGTTGTTTCCTGGCATTCCATGCCTGAGCCCTCGCACCTCTGACCCCCCAATAGCTCAATGAACCCTCTGATTGCATGACTGTGCGTGTGAATCTCTATCGCAAGAACATGCTAAATTTTGCAAAGCGCATGCCTCTTTTTGCCACGTGTAGTCAGCAATCCTGGATACATCTAAGTGTTCTCTTCAAATGAGCGGAAGGGAGCAACATGTTTCGAGATTACACCTCCATATGTCCCTGAGAATGTGATTTCATGGTGTACAAATCTTATATCGCTGGAGGAGAAGGAGACCTACTTCCACAGCGCACCGCCCTGTCTAACTCAGTACTGTCTCAAAGATCGTACAGGAATCAGGGGATCCCGTGCCTCGCGATGAGAAGAGGTGCGGGATTCATTGAATCTCACTCGGGGGAAGCCAACCGTTTGGGCTGTCCCGGAATCAACGCGCACACACACACACACACACATTCAGCACCATCTAACCTGCAAAGCTTGAGGTCAGCGCAATGATTTCACCTTCGGCCGCTCCCACCTGACGCTGACCCCAGGCCATGATGGCATGCATCATGCGGTGACATTGAACAGAATCTCCAAGGGTCCGGCATTCTTCCACTCCTGACGATACCAGCAGTAATCCATCTTGTTGCTCGGACCTGGTGCAAACGTTCCCGACCCACCGGGTTGAGTAGCTGCAAAATCCAATAAATGGAAGGTGCCGCCGCCGCTTCCACACCAAGCTTTTTCTACTGGAAAGAAGTGTCACACTGCTCACAGTGTGCATCGATCTGGGGAGCTAACCAGTCCATGTGAAAGCCTTGCGCGCGAACTTTGTGTTGGCCTGCCGGTCTGTCAGTGAGCATGCGTCGGTGGGATGTTCAGACTCGCTTGATACTCAAGCCTGCCTCGGCCTTTGCTTTCCTTTCCTCGCTGACAATAGCGCCTCACCGGTGCACCGGCATGTTTGTTCACCGTTGCTCGTGAAAAAGCTCTTGCTCATTGAGTCAATGCTCCGCAGCCTCCACCGCTGAGATTATCCCTTTTCAAGTCTCGCCGAAGTAGCGAGGGAACCTGACATGGGCGTTGATCAAAAATATATCCCCCAAAATGACCATGCATAACTTTCTCCATTTAGAGGGAAACACCATGTTTCTTGGTTGGGTCCTGAATGGTAATCCTATGCAAAGGACCTGCTGCTCAACCGCCACATGCCGCTACTCTTTTCGTTCAAAGTGGTCAAACAGGGTGACAGCACCGCAGCCATCTGCGGCTCCCATCGGCTCTTGTTATAGTAGGCCGTCTCCGCCTTCAGACAGACGGCGGCACTCAGAGGCGTGGCGTGGACTCCAAAGCTGGGGCCAGGGCCACTCCAACCGGTGGCTTCAACTGCCTGGACAAGGTCCAGAACATATGTGTCCTTTTGGGGCAAATAAATGGCCCTGGTAGATGATTAAACCACCGGGTAAACCGGGGACATCTATTTTTCGACCAAAACAACCAAAAAGGACACCTATGGACCAGAAATTGCTTTGCATGAAGCCCTGGCAACTCCAACGATTCAGCTGAAGTGATTGAGGAAAGGACGGACTTGCAGTTGCTGCTGTATGCTGGCTAGTGGGTGTGTTGGTTGTCAAAAACTTAGCCTTCGTTGAACCGTTGAGCTACTGTCCGTTTATTTCTCCTTTCAACCCTCTGTTACAGTTCATTCTTGGAAAGATTGACCTCACATCCGCAGCATTGTGCCTGGGGATCTGTGCAGTGGTCATTCCCGGCTGAAAGTCCAGCAGCATGACAGGCACCTTTGGCATCTCCTGACGGATTTGCTGCCGTGGAAACATGCCCATTTGCCAGTCAATGACTCCCTTTTGCATGCATCAGGATTCACCGCAGTCCAGGCGGGCCGTGCGGATCAAGCCCCAAATTGTAACCTCAAGTCGTCAGAGATCAGGTCATGGTGCCATGAGTTCTTCCCTTCTGCCTCTTGCCTTACCTTGCCGCCCTTGAACTCAATACCTACAATTGTGGCCGCACTTACTGGTTGGCGATGCCTTCCTCTTTAGATCTTGCTGCAACCAAACCCGCCCCCCACCGTCCAGCAAAGGTTCTTAGAACTTTGAATTCTCAAAAAGAGCTCTGAAAACCTTGCCGGATTGGGGGGCTCCTGAAGCTATGACTTTGACTGGTACAGTTTTGGGCTTGTTTTTTTCTCCAAGAAACCAAAAGTTGACAACAGGGGGTCCGATTTCTGAAAAAAGAAAAAAATGGGACGAGCCGCCCATATCATCTATGTACCCATCTGGCTATGGGTGCAAAATAGGTACCCAAACCTAGAACCCTGGTAAATGGAAACCTGGTACTAAAATCTGCGGTGGTTGAATTTTGACTCATGCCCATATGGCCGTATCTTTTCTTCCGGGCTTTTTGGTGCAGCCTCCATTGGCTTTCCAAGTCTTTGCGGGCTCGGAGCTGCCGCGACGCTGGTCATGGATCCGGAGTTCATGTCACCGCAGAGTCGTCCGAAGACACCGCCTGTCACACCCCAACGAGTGCGAGTAGCCTTGCAAAAAAAGACATGATGACCATGAGTGACAATGCTCGTTGCAATGGGGCTCGTTCAACAGTTCAACATCGCGGGAAGCATGGCAAAGGCCAACAACACCATCATGTCAAAAGGAAACCCATGTTTTGACTCTGGACCCCCCAAACTTTCAAGCAGCCCCAATGTCGCGATCTTCTGCCAAACGCGTTGGGCTGGCGGGTGTTCACTACGATCGGAATTTTCGGGATGTCGCCCTTGGCCATAGCCTCAAAATCAGGTCCAATGGGCCAAAACGCTCCAAGCAAATCAAGCAGCAAGCCATCACCCACGACCGTCTCTGCTGTGATACCATGGTTCTGCTCAACACCCATCTCTCAAGTTAGAACTCTTCAATGACGTGGCCGTAGGCTTCGACCAGCTGACTGAAATTTCGACCACGTCAAGAAAGCATCGGAAGGCAGAGAAGGCTGGCTCTCAGCTCCGGACGCCGACCAAATCCATCAACTCCAAGCACATTTGCGTGGCGCAGTTGTCGGACCTCTTGGGAATGCTTCGCTCAGACTAACCTTGCTCCCAGAAGGCCGCTGTAAATGGAACCAAGTCTTTTAAAGGGGCCCTGGGAGCTTTCATGTTAGCCTGGGAAGGGTACTCTCCAACCGGGATCGCATTCATGTACTGAGGAGGCTGCATAGCAGTTGCGAAGACGACGCAATGCGCAGGTGGTCTCTCATCGGCTTCCTACGAGGCGAGTTGACTGCTGCAAGTTCTGCACAAAACTAGGGCGCGAGCGGTAGCTGCATCAACCACAGTCCTGGAAGGCAAAGCAAGAGCAAGCAAACCGAGTCTCTCTCTCTCTTTCTCCCTCTTTTTCTGGACTCGCATTTTTTCACAAGGATGCCCTAATTTCAATTGAGCTGCATGGCCTGATTCTACTTGAGCTGTCCTGGGCGTGCCCCAGTAGTTTCGGCCGGAGGCCACAATGTCCAACAAAGACCCAGGCACCTGAGACGATGCGAAACCTCCTTTTTCCCAAGAGCACTCCGAAGCCGAGCTTCCCGCCCGGCTATGCTTGATGTGACAAGCTTGCGGCCCGGCAGGGGACAAAAGAATGCCTGAACGTCTCTCGCAAGGGACTTGGCTGGTCAAAATACCACCAGGAATTGGACCGCAGGATTTAGTCTTTGGTTCCCTTTACCAGGCGTTCCATTTTGGGTACGCATGTTTGACCCAGCCACTTGAATCTTGCCACAGTTGCGACCTAACACCTCGAGTATGTTTTCTTTCACCAGCCTGCGTTCTCGATGCTTGGCCTGGCAGCTCAAATGGGCCAATTCAAGCGCGGGACATGCTCCATGAACCGCATGAACTCCATTGGAGCATGCACTCTCACTCACTCCTGAAAGTATCCTGGATCGGCACTGCGCCCTTCAACGCTCAATCATTCAACGGGGCCTTCAACAGCTTGCCATGCCCACTTCACACATGTCTTAGCCGCCTCTTCGGTGTTGTCATCCTCATCTGGGCCTCGGGAGCAAGACAAGCCAGTGGACTGCCTTAGATTGCTTGCCGGCATTTGTCATATTATCTCATTAAGTGGTGCCTAAGCCGCATCGGTCTAGCGGTGTCTTGGGCATCAGGCCGTCATCTGCCTGGCCCTCTCAATGTTGGCCTTCACCAGCTCCTGCGTCCGAGCCGAGCTTCGCAGAGCCGTGCCGGACATTCCCCCGGCCGCGTCTCTGCGTCTCCTCGTTCACCTTGTCCCCAGTTCTCCGGCAGCAGCTCAGAACCTGCCGGAAGAAACGAGCAACCGAGTTCGATCGAAGCCCATGGAAACGGCTCCAGGCCTCGCGGGCATGCGCCAAGCCGTCTTCAAGGTCGCCACGGGTGAAATAGCCGTTGGCCAGCGCAAAGTGCGCAGAACTCAGCATGTCGCTGTTGTCATTGCACTTCCCTCATTGGCATTTTTGAGACGCGGCTGCTTGCTTCTCTGATGGCGCTCTGCTTCTTACATCACTTTCCCTGCCCTCAGCTCGAACTTCCTGGGCTCCTCGCTACAAGCCAACGAAGTCATCAGACTCCTTGTAGATCCCCAAGGCAGCCTCCAAGTCGGGTCAAGCGCAAAAAAACAACGGACCTTCCCTGGCCCCGTCATGGGACGGGTTGCGGGTTGTCACAGGGCCAGCATGAAACCAAACCAACCGAGTTCTCAAGGATCTCCAACATGGTGAGGCGGTTCACTCGGCCTGCAAGTACCGCATACCCTCCGCACTGGCGGGGTTCTCGGCCAGAAGTGCCTGACCCAGCACCTGAGACCGCTGGGCCCTCGGGGATGGAAGTGGACCCTAGATCTGCAAAAGCCGATGCTGTATGCTTCCATTGAGAGGAGACTGGCCCCAAGTCTTGTCGAAATGAGGATGGGGCTACCATGGCAGAGGCCTGACCAGCTGAGTGCTTCCTTGGCGGCAAATTCGGAGTTTGCTTTTTTTGTGCTCCAGCAGACGCATTCACCCGTCCTCTCGCGACATCTTGCCAGCTGCTCCTTGGACCTCTTGATTGCGCCCGCTTTGTCGCCCCTGCCGACATCAAGTTCAGTCAATCAGCCAAAAACCTTTGTCTGCGAATTTCGTCAAAGCAGAGTTGCTTGGCAACCCACATCAACCAGTTCAGCCAATCAGCCAAACACTTTTGTCTACGAAGTCGTCAAAGCAGAGTTGCCAACAAGCAACTGCTCGTGCCCGCCTCCGCAGAAGAATTTCAGCCACGTTGTATGTGGCCTGGGCCTCCTTCTCGATATCATCCGCCTCCTTTGCCTCGTGTCATGTTCAGCGTTTTTAGTCGTTTCACTTTTCAAAACTGACTAAGGTTGAAATACAAATAAATAGTTTGTTAAAAAAAAAGAAAAAAACCGACAAGTTGAATGACAATGCTCGATACAATAATGATGGACAAATGGTTCAACATTATTTGTTTATGAAGATGGTTGGACTTTGCAACACATCCACAGCGCAGAGAATGGCTGCGCATTTTCAGGCGCCTTCATCTCCGCCTGCTCTGCGTACTTCAGAGCTTCTGCTTCGTTCTGTGCCAGGCAAGCGGAAACTAGACGAAGCAGTGCAGCTGCCTGAGCAGGTCCAGCGAAGAAAATTGGGTCTCAGGGTTCACCCGCTTAAGCACTGGCGTGACAAGGAATGGATCAAAAGCCAGAAAAAACGAAACTCACAGAGTCCAACTGGTCTCGCTCTGCAGCTTCTGACGTCTGGCCTCCTTCGACTTGTTGCCGCTCGCCTCACCGCAAAACCTCTAAACATCCCGCCGCACTGAATGACTCGAAGTGGCCTGACAAAAACAAAGACACCTTTGAAGCTTGAAAAACACAGAATCCCACTTGCAGCGTGGAGTATGGATACCTTCCAATCCCCCTTGCTTACTGCCTTGAGAAGCACGTCCTTTTCGTTTGATTACATCATGAGGGGTGGGGTATGGATCGGCTTGAAGCATTCTCAACTTGTGACAGACACGTGCCGCAAGTCGGACCCTGGTCGGGGCTTCCCCCGGCCCCGCCTGCGTCACTGCCAAGGCCTCCTGCCCCGTGGCCACGGCCGCAGTGGCCTGCGAGTCAGCAGCTGGTTGGACTCGAGCCCCTGGCTGTTGAGGGGCCCCCTGTAGAGGGTATCCTGTTCCCCTCCAATGGCGATAAATGGCCATGGGCTTTTCAAAACCCCGTACCCGTACCCCCCGTGAACATCAACCAATCCAACCACTAAAATAGGAAGCCTAAAATGGGCGGTGAATTCACCTACCCCAAAATGGCTGTGGGTCAAAAATGGGTATCCATTTAAATGGAAACAAGGACTAAAACCTGCGGTCCAATTCCTGGTGCTTTAATTTTGACCCACACCCAAATGGGATCAACCAAAAGGGGTTTGACACCGACAGCCAAATCGGGAAAAAAGAAAAGAAAAAACAAAGGGGAAAAAAAAGAAGAAAAAAGAAGAAGAAAAAAGCGCGGGTCGGCACCGGTCCCGTGAAGCAGCAGGCCTGCTGCTTGCTCTGCTGGAGCTCCGCCAAGATCTGCAGAACCTCCAGCTCCCCGTCCTGCCCATGTGGCCGTGGGTCAAAACCCAAATCGTACCCCCCAGCCAACATCCCAATCCCCACCAAAATAGACTAAAATGGGTGGTGAATTCACCTACCCCAACATGGTGCCATTGGTTTTGACCCACGGCCATGTCAAGGTGTGCAAAGCTTTCAAGAGGCTCGCTTGAGGTGTGTCGTTTTTAAGCTTGGACCCCCAAAATATTCGCGGCTTCCTGTTCAGCAAACAACAAGCCCAAAAAAGGTACCCTCAACATGCCTCAACTTCTCACCTGTTGCAAACACATTGTCATGACTGCACTGGCTCCGTCCAGATTTGGAGTTTGCAATGCGCCTGGTTCTTGTCTTCCTGCATGAAGGTCCTTGCCTTTTGCAAGGAGTCAATTGCACTGTTCACACCTGGCAAAGGGCAAGTGGTCTGAGACAGAGTCTTCACGACGGCATTCGTGACGTGGGCGTGTCATGGCGAGGTGAAACGACGCTATCTAGCTTGACTTTGACATGGTAAACATCGAGCTTTCTAATTGCAGTGCTCTGCTTTTCGGCGACTAGTCAACACGGACGGCTATCATGCCTTTGCCACCCATTGCAGCATAGATCTGGGACATGCCATAGGCAACGTTTGCCTTCGTACAACTTGCAGGTTCTGGACGTTGGCAGTCAGGCTTGCAAGCGGGCCTTTTCAGTGCCAGTGCCCTGGAGTGCCTTCTCCAAAGCCTGGCTGCTGGCGTTGCCCTTTTCTCAAAGTCAGGATGTCAAAAGCCACAAATCATGAGACCCCACGGCTTTGGCAAGGATTTGGCAACGACTTGTTTCAGTTTCCCGTCATGCGTTTTCTTCTTGATCCACGCGACCGCATTTGGACGAGCCGATGCCTTCAGAGCTTCATCGAACTTCTGCTGCCTCAACTTCGAGGCTGCGGCACGGCAGTCGCCCAGTGAGCCCAAAAACCCAAGTTCAGCATTGGTTCTTTGTTGCGATCTCGTGAGGCCTCGCTATCCCCTTTCCACAAGTGAAAGCCAACTGCCGGTTGCAAACGCGTCAGTTCGAGCACCAGACGAGAGATACAGCACTGCCAGGGATCGCAGGGCCTTCACGTGGCCGGCCTAAGTCAAAAACTGCACTACTGCAAGCTTCAGATCGAGCCCCCGCCTTGTCCCCAAGGCTGGAAAATGCGGCGACAGCCTGGCGGTTTCCCTTTGGCACGCACCACGTGCTCTGTGTGTATGGTAGTTCAAGCTGCAACCCAAGGAATCAGATGCAAGATCACAGGTGCCATGCCATCCGTACCTAAACTCCAACATTCTCAAAATCCTGAGAAACATGCTGCCTCGAATTCTTCTGTGCCTAGACTGGCAGTCAGCATGCCCCTGCCTCACACCCGAGCCCTGGCCATGGGCTTTCCCGCCTCCTCCACCAGCGTCCTGGCGCCCTCCATGGCACCCATGGAGTAGAACACCGCCGCCACCCGCAGCAGACAGGGTGCCTCCTGGCCCGAAGCCATGTGGCCATGGGTCAAAACCCAAATCGTACCCCCAGTGAACATCCCAATCCAACCACTAAAATAGACTCAAATGGGTGGTGAACCTATCCCAAAATGGTATCATTAGTTTTGAACCATGGCCATGTTCCCCCTTGAGACCTTGAGAAGTCTGGGCTTGATGCTTCCTGGAAATACTGTGGATGGACGAAATCCATTTCGCACCACCTAAGAAACACTGGAAGGATGATTCCCCTGGCAATACCCACAAACCATGCTTTCCCATGGTTTCAAAGCAGTGCGAAATGAATTTTGTCCATCCACAGTATAGGTGTGTATGTTCTTTCTTGGGAACCCCCTTGTTTGTGGGTTTTAAAGGAAAGCCAGAAGGAACACCAAAAATTTAAGGGTCCCCTAAAAAAAGACACACCCATGTGTACCATGGTCTAATTGCCCATAAAGAGTGTCTTTTGGGGGTTTTCTTGTGGGGTCCCTTTTTGGATGAGACAAAAAGACACCAAAAGGAAACCGTGGCCATTTTTTGTGGCTCCCCTTTGCGACAAACCCATAGGTTTGAAGGTTCCAAGGCAGCGCTTCTACTTCGACGTATCAATCCTGGAAAGCCCCCATGTGGGGTTGATCAAATGGTCCTTTGCATGGTATGATCGTGGGGGAAAACCACTAAAAGGATGATATGTCCCGCTAATTGGGAAAAGTTACCCATGGCATGCCTGCTTAGTTGACTTTCAACAGCGTGTTGGACCATGAGTGTTCTCTTCCTCTGGAGCAAAGGTCGCTTTTGTTAGATCTCAAGTTTGCTCGACTCCCGTCGACAGCCCAGAAAGCGCCTCCTTCTTGTTGGACTTGACTCGGTCTCGGATGTCTTGCTCAACCTTGGCCGCCTGAGCTCTGGCATCAGTTCCTCTGAGCCATGCAGGTCTCAATCGGAATGCACTTAGGCCGTCTGCAGGCTCTCTCTGGGAGTTGGCAAGGTGGAACTCCAGAATGTCCTGCACAAGCAGCTGATCATGGCTCCGACCGGGCTGTTCGTGGACCTAGAGAACTTGTATGCACCATTGCTTTGCATGGCACTCTACAAAATCAGGGCCATTTTCCCAGGCTGCCCTGGGGTCCTTCATAACATCCTCCTCCTCACGGAGGTCTTTGGCCTGAACAACGGCTAGCAGGCTGGAACGTGTGCAGACTGCAGACTGCAGACTGCCCCTTGGCTCCCAAGGGCCCCCCCCCCCAACGGCTCAAGGCCTCCTTGTAGAGCGCGGCAACCTCCATGAGAGAAGTTGGGAGGTTCTCAATGGCCTCAAAAGCAAGCCGAACGAATGGCTCAAGTCCCCAGCGTAAAGCGTCAACTTGCCATAGCCCTATGAACGCGCATCACTTGAAGGCTTGAGTCTCTAAGCTGCACCTAACCGGCCTTGCGGTCTTCCTGGAAGACCTTGATATGGATCGCCAGGTACATGGCAAGCGCCTGTGCCTTCTTGTCTCCAGCCTCCGCAGGAAAAATCATGGCACAACTCAAGCTCGATATGGCTACTCAGAACTCAAGGCGTGAACCCTGTCCCTCTTTCCCTTGACATTGACCCTGCTTAAAAAGCTCAACAAAGGGGGTGAACTTGACCAGCCGCCGTGCTGCCGCACTCTTTTGTCGCTGCGCATCGCATGACTTATAATCAGCATGGCTCAGCTTGACGTGGTGTTGCGTCCAGCTTTGAGCTGATCCACCTGGCAATTGGAAATCGCACGTGACCAAGGTAGCAGTCATGAAAACCGCAAAAAAGATGTGCGAAAGGCCCATATGGGTGTGTCTTTTCGTTGGGGGGGTACCACATGTTTGGCCGTTTTACAGGAAAACCTAAAGGAAAACCCCAATGTTGGGGGGTCTCCTGGGAAAAGACAAGCCCATACCAAATGCAACCAATCCGTTGCAAGAGCCTTTGGACCCCTCCAACTTAGAGTGCATGGTTGCAAGCCCTCGCCGTTCACACATCACCGATGCCAAGCTGCTGTTCCAACGGCGAATGTACTTGTCATTGTGGCAATCTGCCTCAGCTCCACCAAGTTCTCAAGCTCAAGGCTTTCACAACCTTCACTGCGCAAATGATAGCCCCGTCCGAACGCTTGGTTACCTTTCAGTTTTACCTCTGCAGACAACTCGATGGGGATGCTGATTTGCCATATTTGTTGCAAGGCAAGGGTCTGTGTCAACTCTGGCCAGACCTCCGCTGGCGCAGAGATGTCCACTATCCACAGCACCTGAACAACTCGCACCGTCTGCACATGGGTACGGTCCACTCCCAAACTTGCTGGTGCTCAGGGAGTGTGGGAATGAACCGTTTTGGGATTCCCGAAAGGAAACCAGTGGGCCAGTGGGATGATTTTTCTTGGGGGGGTTAGACTCCAATTCTCATTCCATGACCCCCATCAACCGTTCAACTGGTGCTTTCCTTTCAGGGAATCCCTGGGTTCATTCCCTCATTCCCCTATCCAATCTCTCGCAGCAGCCTCAGCGAAGGCCTCCGGAGCCGTCATCGTTGGCCTCGCAGCCGCTCGGTTGACACGTCGACGACGTCCGATTCGCCAATGGTCGACGGATCGGCTGAGCCGGGCGCTCCGGTGTGACCGTGTTGATGGTCAAATGGTGGTACTTCTTGGTGTCCAGAACCTCACCGGTAGACCTGAAGGCAAAAAAATATCAGAGAAGTCTCGCTGCAGACCTGCACATGTGTGTGGCTTGCATCATAGCCGGCCTTTGACAGATCTTCTTGTTGTTGGCGCCAAACACCTGCCACGTCTCTGTGTTTGCGGCTTGCCTGCCTGCCTGCTTGCCAGCATCACACAAGGCGCCTGTTGACCCTCGCAGCGCGTGAGGTCAAACTCGTAGAGCGTGTACTTCTGCTTGTCTTTCACCTTTGAAACGGCTGGCGCGCGCTTACTCCGAGGCCCTACAGCGGGAAACTCCTGCTGGATGCCTTTCTCGTGGAATCAAAAGTCCAGCAAATGTGGGCAAGGCACATAGAAGACACAGTGTGGTCAACATGATGGCAGTTGTGTTGCCATGGTACTTAAAAGCTTCTGCTGCCCAGCCAGTCTGATCTGTTCCCTATCTGCATTTGCATGTGCAAGGCAAATTCACTGCCTTCACTGTGCCATGTTGTTGCACAGCCTGAAAAGTTGGTGCGAAAAGATGCAACAAGCCAGTCAAAGACCGCCAGGCAAGAAATAACATTGTCAACAAAATGTGCGAAAAGAGCGGTAGCCAAACAGACAACACATGCAAGCTAGAAACATGATCAATGCAAATACGAAGATGCGCACAAGATTCCAAACCGCAAAGCAACACGTGCGCACAAACAAAACCACACTGCACAACAAAACAAAACACAAGACAACAACAAAGGCATGATAAGGCAGTTAAGCAGGCAGACAGGCAGAGAGACACGAGAGAAAGACCATCTACGAACTGGCAAGACTACGAAACACAAAGGAGAGACAAGCAGAACAATGATATGTGTATATATATATATATATATCTAATATTCACAATTAATGAGTTGGATGCAATGTGCAATGTCCACGGTCACACAGCACTTAACTTCGCAGTATGATGCATTGCTGGAAGCTACCACAGTGGGCGCGATGTGTCGCAATCAATGCATTGGGCGCTGCTCCGGCCATAAACTTACTGGAACTCGAATGTCTACCATGCCTACCACACGTACTGACACCTGCAATTGTCACACCATGCTACACTGCACATCACAACACTGCTGCTCTTGTACTAGTAGGTCGGATGAGGTCCGCACCCTGTCCTCACCATCACCTGCAAATCAGATCACACCATCGCTTACTTTTGGAGAATTCCGATCGACTCTCTCTGAGTCCCGAGCCTTCCAATTGAAAAGCGAAGGTGGCAGGCTGCCGAGCATAGGCTTTGCTCAAGGACTCAGGACGGTTGGTTAGCTCAACGCCACGTGGATATGAGATTTGCCAACCTTCACGCTTGAGGCCTGGGCTTCGACCACCGTTTTCCTGGTCACCCTGCGAGAAACCAGGAAGCACTCAGCGCAATTGCAACCATGCGACTGACAACAGTCAGCCAAGCACAGGCCCAACATGAGTGCCTGGGGAAGGGGATTTGGAAGTGCTCGATCAAGATCAATGCACCACTCCCATCTGGGTCTTGCCTTACCAAGTGAACGACTCCAACGCCCTGGCTGAGTAGACAGCCCAGTGACGGAGTAGTCGCCAATGGAATACGAAGGACTTTGACTTCTGCACCCTGTGCAAGAAACAAACACACATGCTCTCAGCACAAGCTTTCCTTCCCACCTTGGATGAGTCTCCTGCCAAAAGAAGCTCCTGCATTCCAGCAATGCTTTTTAGTAGGGGCGTTGCTGCGCGACAACTCTTTGTGGCTGTCGCCATTGCTCCTTGGTCCGCATCTCATCCGAACCAGGAACACCAAATTGCCTGTAGATCTGCCAGCCCTTAGGACTCTTGCAGGTCAATTCAATTCAATCCACCTTCGACCGTCCAACTGGGGAAATGGATGTCATCCAGGATCCCGTTGTCATGTCAAAACCATCCAACGAGGGCCCTCAGGCTTTGGCGCAAGTTTAAGTGATCTATCCTCAGCGCTAGACATCTGGCAGTTTCATCTGCCATCCTCGGGGAGGCGGCTTGGCGGCTTCGGCTGCCTCCTGCGCGCTGCGCGTAAAACCCCCGAGCCACGAGAGCTTTTGACAAGGGCACATGTTAGGGCGACATCGACAAGCTGGGCAGACCGGTATGCAGGCATGCAGGTATGTAGGTATGTATAGGTATGCAGGTATGACCATATGTGTATGTGTATGGATGCATGTGTCTGTTTATCTCAAGCCCTCCCCCCTTGCCGCCCCGAAACGACATCCACCGCCAACCACAATTGTCACCTCTGCAAGGCTGGAGGAAGGCAGCAGGAGAGAGGCTGCAAGGCCGGCAGCATTCAAAGTGTCCTCATGCAGAGCTCTGTCGATAGAGCGATTTGGGCGTCCGTGTTTAAGGGGGCCCGCCAAAATGGTTGGTTCCCTTTTGCCCCTGTCAAACCAACCAACAAGGGGTCCAACAAAAAAAAGACACACCCAGTTGTCAATACCTGTCAGGGCACTCTCCGGCCGGCAAGTCTTGAATCCAGATCGATGTCCTTGGCTTCGGCATGGAGGCACAGTTCCGGACAGCCCAAACGCACCACGAGCGACGAGCCTTGCTACGTGCTACTGTGCAGCAAAGGAACTTTGGCACCAGCAAAGCTGCCAACAAAGGCGATCTTTGAGCAGGATCCTCCCATTCACCACAACTGCCAATGCGATGCACAAGCACGCGTGCGCGTTGAATCAAGTCATAGCAACTTTGCCACTGGCCACAGCCACAGTCCAGAAATCACTGCTTTCAGCGGAAGGCTGATCGCCACGGCAACAAGAACCACCTTGGCCGCGAAATACAGGTGTTCAGCCAGGCATGTTGCACGAAAAGGATCGCCAATTCTAAGAACGGGTCAGTCAGTGGACGATAGTGGTGGCGACCCATCGCAAGAATGCTCGAAGTGGTCCAACGATGAAAACACTGGCAAGGCCATCTGGTATTCTGCAGCTTGCGAAATATCATGTGGGATTGGGATCCTATACCACTCTTGTCTGTCTGAAGTGTGCCTTTCGAGCCATACGCACACACGCACAACTGCCTGCACTGCAATCATGCCGCACCGCAAGCATTTGAGTCACTATCAAACCCGGTATCAAAATGGTGTACCCAGAACCATGCTTCAAGAACTAAGAAGGCGGATATCCGCTATTTATGGTTGTCCCTTACTCTCATTTGAGTTCTTCACTCAACTGAGCGGGCATCGGGCCGCGCGGGCCTGCTGCGCCTTTGCCAGCTCCGCGTTGGCCAAGGCCAGCGCTTCGTCTGGGGCCTCCTTTGTCAGCTTCTCGTCCACGGCCTTCCAAAGGCCTTCTTTCGGCTGAGCCTTGGTGACCTCAGCGTGGCCCTTTTTGTGGTTCCACTCGATCCCCCGATGGCTCTGTTCTTCTTGGTGCGAGCGCGAGGGGAATGAGAAATGGCTCATGACCCAAAGATAAACCTTCCAGGTGGTTTCCTTTAGTCGGACATCCCAAAACGGTTCATTCCAATTCTCATTCCCTACTTCTCGCGATCGCAAGTCTTTGACGTTTGGGAACACCGATTGAACTCCAACCTCGCCTGTCCGGAGGGCAACTTCAGCGTCTCGGCCCTGAAGCGTTGCAGAGGGCAACGCTGAGGGATAGGTTGAGACATATGGCCATGGGTTGCATAACCTATGGCGATCCCATTTTGGGGTGGATGAACATCCATTTGCCACCTATTTTGATGTTCACCAGGGGTACAGGGTTTTGACCCATAGCCACATACCGAGGTATCCAAAGCGCGAGCCGGCAAAACCCGCGAGCGAAACCAGGGGCTCAGGCGTTGCTTGCAGTGCGTCTTCCGGCTGGCGCCTGCCGCTTTCTGGCGCAAATCTTCATGGAGGGATCCTTACAGCATTGGGCACCTCCATGGGTGCATGGACAGGATGAAAGCCTGCAGCTGTTCGCATAGCCCCCGAAAAGCAAAACAAATCGTGGCATGAGACCAGTTGTGAGATCACAACAACCTTGCCTCAAATCTGTCGGTCACTCGCATGATGACACCTGCTCACGCACCCGCTCCAGAAAGCCGCTGTCTCTCGCGTATTCTCTCTGGGGCACCCCCTTGGCTCCAGGGTGCAGCCGCCAGCCACTCTACGACTCAATACGGCTGCAGCTGGGTAGGCGAAGCTTGCACACGCTCGCGACAAAGACACGTTCGCGAAGCAAGCAAGCAAGCAAGCAAGCAAGCAGGCAGGCAAGCAGGCAGGCAAGCAAGCAAGCAAGCAAGCAAGCAAGCAAGCAAGCAAGCAAGCAAGCAATCAAGCAGGCGACTCATACACTCTGGAATGGACAATACTAACAACGCAGTCAAACTGACAATTCACAGTGGTGTCCCTTCTAGCCGAAACTTGTGAGATAGAGAAATAACCACGCACAAGGGGCCCTCAAGGCCCAAGCAAGGTCAAGTCTTGTCTGGGA